GGCTTTCATACTTACTCATATCCGGTTTAATTCCGAAACTTTGGGCTGGGTTACAAAACCAATTATGTATTGTAATAGGAAAAAACTGAGTTAGGAGATATCAGGTAAACGGCGGTGAATGAGAACTGCTGGAAAGATGTCACAGACTCTGACTTGTCAACTTTCATATGTCACCTAGATGTGGTAGAACCATTGGAAACCTTAGTTCCCTTTCTCTTGGTGTACACCTGGGAGGATAATTGCTGGGCCCTAGGGTAGTTTTAGTAGACATTGCTAGTTTCCAAAATGGGGATGCTAAATTCTATTCTATCAGCAATGAGAGTTTCCATTACTGTAATTCTCTCAACATTTGATATCGTTAGGTTTTTTAAAAAATCCTAATCGTTTTGGTGGAAGTACAACAGTATCTCATTGAAGTTTTATTTTGCGTTTTCCTAATGTGTCATGATTTATAGGACATTTTCTTATGCTTGTTGTTCATGTAGATATATTGTTTTATGAAATACTTGCTGTTTTGCATGTATTTTAAAAATTGGGGATCATTTGTATATGCATGTTTCAGGACTTCAATTCTTCAGTATAAATACCAAGGAGTGGTACAGGTGGGTCATATGGTGGTTCCATGCCTAGTCTTTTGAGGAACCTCCATATTGATTTCCTTAATGGTTGTACTAATTTACAATCCCACCAACCATTTAAAGTGTTCTTTCTCTCCAGCATTTACTATTGTTTGTATTCTTTTTTAAATATAATTTTTATTCTAATTTGTTATATTTGAAAGCAGAATACATTGCAATTCATATTAAACATATAGAGCACAATTTTTCATATCTTTGGTTGTATACAAAGTATATTCACACCATTTTGTCTTTTGTTTGTATTCTTGATGACTGTCATTCTGACCGGTGTGAGATGGAATCCCAGTGTAGTTTTGATTTGCACTTCCCTAATTGCTAATGATGTTGAACATTTTTTTCATACATTTGTTGGCTATTTGTAGCTCTTTTGAGAAGTGTCTATTTAATTCATTTGCCTACTTATTGAGTTTTTATGTTGTTTTTTGAGTATATATATATATATATATATATATATATATATATATATATATTCATTCTAGATACTAATCCTCTGTCAAAAATGTAGCTGGTAAAAATTTTTCTCCCATTCTGTAGGTTCTCTCTTCACGTTCCTAATTGTTTCCTTTGCTGTTCAGGAGCTTTTAAATTTGATACCATCCCGTTTAAACTTTTGGTGTTGCCTACTGAGCTTTAGGTGTCCTCTTGAGAAAGTGGTTGCCTGTGCCTATATGCTGGAGTGTGGACCTTATGTTCTCTTCTAGGAGTTGTGTAGTTTCTGGTCTAATTTCTAGGTCTTTGATCCATTTTGAGTTGATTTTTGTGCAGGGTGAGAGACAAGGGTCTAGTTTCATTCTCCTACATATGGAAAGCCAGTTTCCTTAGCACCATGTGTGCAAAAGACTGTCTTTGCTCCAGTGTATGTTTTTGTCACCTTTGGCAAGAATCAGATGACTGTAGATGTGGGGGTTTGTCTCGGTCTTGTATTGCTTACCATTGGCCTCTGTGTCTGTTTTCATGCCAGTTCCATGAAGTTTTTGTTACTATAACTTTGTAAAATTTGAAGTCAGGTATTGTGATGCCTTTAGCATTGGCTTTTTGGCTTAGGATTGCTTTGGCTATTCTGAGTCTTTTATTTTTCCAAATGAATTTTAGGACTTTTTTTTTTCTACTTCTGTGAAGAAAGTCATTGGTATTTTGATGGGGATTGCATCGAGTCTCCATATTGCTTTTGGTAGTTTGACCATTTTAACCATATTAATTCTGCCTATTCATGAGCATGGAAGGCCTTTTCATCTTGTGTCTTCTTCAATTTCTTTCTTTGGTGTTCTCTAGTTTTCACTGTAGATGTTTTTCACCCCATTGGTTAGATTTATTCCTAGATATTTTTTTTGAGGCTATTGTGAATGGGATTGTTTTCTTGATTTTTGTCTCAGCAGATCCATTGTTGGTGTGTAGGAAAGGTATTGATCTTATTATGTTGATTTTGTGATCTTCTACCTTGCTGAGTTTGTTTATTAGCTCTAGCAGTCTTTGGTGGAGTTTGTTTTGGATTTTCTAAGTATAGGATTTGCAGACAGTGATAATTTCACTTCTTCATTTCCTAACTTTATTCCTTTTATTTCTTTCTCTTGCCTAATTGACCTGGTTAGAATTTCTAACACCATGTTGAATAGCAGTGGTGAGAGTGGACATCCTTGTCTTGTTCCAGATTTTAAAGAAAATGCTTTCAGTTTTTCCCCATTTACTATGAGGTTGGCTTTGGGTTTTTTGAAGATAGCCTTCATGTTGTTGAGGTAGGTTCCTTTTATCCCTATTTTATTCTTCTTTTTTTTTAAAAATCATGAATGGGTCCTGAATTTTGTCAAAGGTTTTTTCTGCATCCACTGAAATAACTAAGTAATTTTTGTCTTACTTCTATTTATGTGATGAATTACATTTATTGTTTTGTATATGTTAAACCATCCTTGCATCTCTGGGATAAAACCAACTTGACCATTATATACAATCTTCTTAATATGTTGTTGATGCAATTTGTTAAGATTTTATTAAGAATTTTTGCATCTAAGTTCATCAGGGATCGTCTTTAGTTTTCTTTCCTTGATGTGTTTTTATCTGTTTTTGGTATGAGTGTGACACTGGCTTCATAGAATGAACTTGGAAGTGTTTCATCCTTTTCTATTCCATGGGATAATTTGAGGAGCAATGACATTAGTTATTCTTTTAAAAGTCTGGTAGAATTCAGCTGAAAATCCATCCATCTGGTCCTGGGATTTCTGTGTTGGAAGGTTATTACCGCTGATATCTCATTACTAGGTATTGGTCTGTTTAGATTATCTATGTCATTGTGGTTCAATTTTGGTAGGTTGCATGTGTCTAGATATGTATCCATTTCTTCTAGCTTTTCCAAATCACTGAAGTATAAGTTTTCAAAATAGTCCCTCATGATCCCATGGATTCTGTGATGTCTGTGGTGATTTCTCCATTTTTACCTCTAATTTTAGTAATTTGGCTCTTCTCTCTCTTTCTTTTGGTTAGTTTGGCTAACAGCTTATCAGTCTTGTATATCTTTTCAAAGAACTAACCCTTCATTTCATTGATCCCTGTTATTGCTTATTTATTCTAAATTTCATTGATTTTGGTTCTGATCTTCATTATTTCCTTCCTTCTACTGGTTTTGGAATTGGTTTTTAGAAGTTTCTCTCACCAAATGTTTTGTGACTTTCAGTATTGGGTTTTTACACATCTTTTGTTAGATTTATTTTTATTCTTGATGGTTCTGTAAGTGATATTGTTTTTCTATTTTTTTCCATTTTCTAATTTGCTAGTATCTAGAAACATAATTAATGTTGGTCTCAAATCCAGTTACCTCACTAAAATTACTAATTAATTCTTATAGTTTATTTAGAAACTCTTTAAAAATTTCTGTAAATAATGGTAGTTATTAGGTTTATTTTTAAAAGTTTCTTTTTATTTTTTTAAGTTGTCAATGGACTTTATTTTATTTATTTATATACAATGCTGAGAATCAAATCCAGTGCCTCACACATGCTAGGCAAGTACTGTGCCACTGAGCCACAACCCCAGACCTAAAAATTTCTTTTCCTCACCTATTACATGGGCTAAGATTTACAGCAAATGTTAAATGAAAGAGGTGACAGTAGACATCTTTGTCTTGTTCTCCAATTGAATGGGAAGGATTTACCATTTCATATTTAAGTATAATATGTGCCATTAGGTTTTTTGTTTGTTTGTATGTTTGTATACTTAAGATTCATAAAGTTATTTTCCATAATTTTTCTGGGGGTTAAAAAATCTTGAACAGATATTGAATTTCAATTGTTGTAATTGCTTTTTCTGGATCAATTGAAGTTATCATGTTTTCCTCCTTTCTTCCTGTCAATGTGGTGACATACATTTTCTGATTTTTAAACGCTAAAAAGTTCTTGTTTTCCTGGAATAAGTCACACTTAGTCATGACATATTATCTCTTTTACCTGTTGCTGGATTTGAGTTGCTAATGTTTTGTTGGCATTTTTTCATCTATGTCAATGAGAGATATCTACCTATATTTTTTTATATATATATTTTGTAATGTCTTCGTCAGTTTTTTGCATCGGGATTATGCTGTGGTTTTATATAGCAAGTGTGTTTTGTTTTCTTTAGTCATTGAAAGACTTTGAGTAAGTTTGATAATATTCTTCCTTAATTGTATGTTTTGAACAACTTGTGAGTGAAGTCATCTAGATTGATTTTTTCTTGGCTGGGAGAATCATCTTGAAATGTTTTTACTTTTGATGTTTTTATTAGAGCATTATATTATACATAATATTGAGGTTCATTTTGACATAATCACACAAGCATGGGGTATAATTTGCTCCACTTCACTCTCCAGTACTTTCCCTTCCCTCTGTTCTCTTCTCTACTAAACCTATCTTCCTTCTATTTATTTATAGTATTTTTAAAATTAGTGATTTATAGATATACAGAAATGTGAGATTCAGTGTGGTATATTCATACTGTACACAGCATAATTTGGTCAATTTCATTCCATTGTTCCTCTCTTCCTGTCCTTCCTCCCTCTTTCTCAATCCCCTTCCTCTGCTCCACTGACGTCTTTTCTGTTTACATAGGATGCCCCTATTTTGGTCTAGCTTCCACATATTAGAGAAAACATTTGACCCTTGGCTTTCTGAGTCTGGCTTATTTCACTTAGCATGATTTTTCCAATTCCCTTTACTTATCAGAAAATACCATAATTTCATTCATCTTTATGTCGGAGTAAAACTTCATTTTATGTATCTATTCATCTGTTGATGGGCACATGGGCTGGTTCCATAACTTGTTATCGTGAGTTATGCTGCCATAAACATTGATGTGCCTGTGTCACTATATTATGCTGATTTTAGTTCTTTTGGTGATCAGATGGTGGTTCCATTCCAAGTTTTTTGAGGAATCTCCATAGTGCTCTCCAGAATTTGCAGTTCCATCAAGAATGTTTAAGTGTACATTTCCCCACACATTCTTGCCGGTATTTATTATTATTTATATTCTTGAGGATTGCCATTCTGACTGGAGTGAGATGAAATCGCAGTTGAAATCTTGATTTTTTTTTCTACCATTGTATTTTTTTCCTCAGGATGTTTGCAATGGTCAAGAATAAGGAGATATTTTGTGATATATTTTTCAACCACTTCAAGAAAAATAAAGTGGAGATAGCAACTGCAATAACAAAGCTGTTTCCTTTCCTAGAGGGCCTCAGAGACCGATCCTTTATCACCGAACAAATCTATGCTGTAAGTGAGTTCATTACATCGCCCCACAGTAACCCAGTCCCACATTAATTCATGTTTGGCTTCGTGGATTCAAAGCTTAGTATGTCACTCACTGGCTGAGACGCCTTTTATGCTTTGTGTAGGAAGACCCCTTTATCTCCATCACCTGACGAGGCAGAAGATGACAGAACAGGAAGAGGTCATTACAGACACCTCTGTTTCTAACCAAAGCTCTTTTCTGAGGCATAGGTGGGGATGGGGATGGATGGTAATGGTGATATGACTCAATGAAACTCATAAGCAAGATTAAAATAATTAAGAGACTGGAGCTGTATTTTACTGTATTGTTCACATGTGTTCGATAAAATACTGAGGGAATTTGTGCCATTATAAAACAGAATCATGCCTTGCTATTGTCTCCTGCAAGGCGTTTTAATTTTGTTAGGTGATTCTGCAGCCTTGGGGTTCAATAAGCTTGATCAGTGGGCCCACCTGGAGACATGGAGGGGGAAGCCATCTCTTCCACGTGGGACTGTGCCCTTCCCTTTGTGTTCTTCACAGCAAGGGCAGAGCCACCTCCCCACTCCTTAGAGCACTTCCAGGACTTCTCATACCCAAGATGGGGTGTTAGTGGAGGATGGGGAGGGTACAGTGATTGCCATGTTGTCAACAGAATTACTACAAATCCATTCTTGGAACGTCCTAGGCTGGATGAGAATTTGAAAGTCAAGAGACAGGGCTTACTTGTTCTTTTAAACAGGTGATCAAATATTCAAGAAGTTCTAAAATATTACATGAAAAATTATAGTTTAGTTGCACTGAGAAAATAGAGCTTCTATGTGATGACTTCCTCTGTTTGACTTCAAAGCTATGATTTATAAACTTTCCACTGATTTTTTTGAAAGGATTCTCAAGAAGCCTTTAGAAACTTGGTTCCTGTAGCCAGAGTGGTGTACCATGTTCTTGGCCACCTTGAGAAGGTGTTTGATTGGTCACTTCTACAAACCCTGTTCAGCAAAGTGAACCTGAAAGAGTACCCTGGCTTAATACAGATTTATAAAACCTTTGAAAATGGTAACGAATTCTCTCCTCTCCCTTTGGTGTCCAGCTCTACTTTTCATTCATTCACTTATCAAGCATTCATGAAAGGCTGGCTGTGTCCCAGGGCCTGCACTGGGCAGTGTGAACCTAACTAGTCTGGTGTCCTGGCCTCCCCTCATTGACCACATTCCAGGCTCCTGGTTAAGGCATCCCGGGACAATTCCCAGTGTAGGGGGTTCACTCCTGCTTTAGCTGCCAGAGTCCTGCCTTTGCTGCTGGGACCTGAGTCTCCCCTGTATTTCCTTCCCACATCCTCTGTTAGGTCTCTTTGGGATCTTTTCATTCTTCTTACCCAATGAAGCCCAAACTTTCTCCTTCTCTAACTCCATCTTTAAAGCCATTGACCTTTTTCTTTCATCCATATAGATCTCTCTAGGACCTTAGGCTTCTTCAGAAATCCCTGTTTCTTCCCTAAGGTTTAGACAATTCATAGGAATGTTCTGTCTGTAGAATTTTAATTGAGATAACCTTTCACTCCTTCCTGACCATCTTGTTGGGCTATTAATTATTTATGACTTTCCACTACTTCACCATCCTTAAAAACTGAGAGGTTCATCACCTACAGGATTTCAGAGGTTTTGTTTCTTCCCTTGGCTGTCCAAGAGGAAGGGATAAATTATTTTGAGTCTTGAGCCATAGAAATTGAGAGTTACCAAGGGTTAGGAACTCCCCACTGAAAAATAAGAATTCCCAGGTGCTCCCTCTGTGTAATTGTGAGGCGATATTCCCAATCTCTTGCCTGAAAACTCTATTTTTTCCCCTTTGTTCAGTGTTCCAAGAAAAATATGTTTCCCTAAGAAGTGACCCGGAAGGAAGACAACAAACATCCATCACTCAGCCAAGCCGTGAGCAAGGTACTTAGGACCGAGTACAAACTTGGTTTTCAGGTTGACTAAGAGGAAAAGGAGACCAGGGACTAAGCTGTGTGAGGAAGGATGGATGCTGGGGGGGAATCCAGGGGAGGTGGTGAAGGTAGATGAGTATTGATTTAGGTTGAATTCCAAAATGGCCTGACTCCATGAGGTGGCAGAGAGACTTTCTGTCCAATAGTCTGTGGGTGGGGTGGACGGGGAATCTGATGAATGATGAGTTCAAGAGTACCTCCGCGGGAAGCTTCAAAGGGCTCAGAGTAGGGGCCTATCAAGAACAGTGTCCAAGAGGAGCCCTCGTGATGGCAGGAGAGACTGGCATAAATGTGGCACCTGGGCTGGGGGGCGCAGCTCAGCGGCAGCGTGCCTGCCTAGCGCGTGCAGGGCCCTGGTTCAACCCCCAGCACCCCGTAGATCAACAGTGAAACAAATGAACAAGTCAGTAATGAGGTGGTTGTTGTTCAAAAGCAGGAATGCTTCAGGAGAAAAGCTGACCCAAAGAGAGACCCAGAGGGAGGGGCAGAGGTTTGGGGAGAGGAGAGGGTGCTTGAAGACAGAGAAGCGGGAAGGAGGGGAGAAGTGAAAGGGAGGGGTAAAGGACGCGCACAGGAAGGGGTAGAGAAGCGCGCCCTGACTGAGCCCACCTCGGCTTTTGTGGATTCTGTGCTCAGGCCGCTGCTGGAGGTGTTATCACTTACTGTCCTCTGGTCAGATGAGGAAGTTGAAATCTGGAGGGACCATGGACGGTATTTACCTGGGGTCAAAGGAGCAAGGGAGAACCCAGGCATTCTGAACCCAGAACCTGCGTTCTTAGCCCCATGCTGCTGCCTGGGTTGTCTAATGAAAAAGGCAGAAACATGAAACCAAAGTACGGGAAGAGGTGCAGACAGAAAGATAAAGGAAACAGAGGATGCCTGGAGAGGGAGGAGTGAGGCAGACCAGTCGCTGATCCCCACTGGAGGCCACCAAGGAGGAGGCAGACCAGTCGCTGATCCTCCCTGGAGGTCACCAAGGAGGAGCCACAGGCTGTGCCAGGAGGCTGTGGTGTGGGAGGGCGGGAACCAGGCCGCCAGGGCTTCTAGGAACTCAGGTAGGGCCATGGGGCAGGCCAGCTGGGGACAAAAGCAGGCCATCTCCAGGTGCCAGAGTGCCTCACAGAGGACCCTAGTGAGGGGGCCCAGTGAGACCCTCAGACAGGGCTGCAGCTGACCCAGACCCCACTCTCGAGACTGAAGTCAGGAGGGAACTTCCAGCTCCAGATGAGTCTGGATTGACACTTTGAGGGGTCTCTACCATCTGCGTTGTAAAGACAAAAGAGAGAATGGCAAAACCCATCCTTCAGTTTCTGAGATCAACTTCTAATTTCTTCCCCTAGGAACAGTTGAGAACACGTTTCTGCGAAGACTGACCTGGCCACAGCACTCAGATCCCTCGTCTTACAATGGTCTGTTGCTGTTGCCTCTTGTGGGACCCTTTGCTGTCTTACTCCATTCTGGAATGTTCTGTGAGGCTGCTTCCTTGTGTGACTGATTGCCCAGAACTTTCAACGTTTGCATCTGTAGCTTCTCCAAGTTCAGGATGTAAACAGGAGGGTCTTGAGCCTCTGAGTTACCCAGGAAGGATTCTGGGCCTAAATAGTTGGTTAACTTATCAATGTATTAAAAATTTTGATTTTGATTCATAATGTCACGATGTCATATTTATGAAACCAGAATGTCATCTAGGAGCCATCCTGTTTGGAACTAGAACTAGAACCTCAGAACCTGTCTGGGATGTAAAGTCAAAGCGTATAAAGACAGAACAGCCTATCTGCAGCCCAGAGAAGGCTCTTGGAACTCAACAAGAAAATTATGACTGTGCCCAAGCAGGTAAGGCTGCTGATGTTCTGGCACTTACATGGTGACCAGTGGTGGGCACTATACTATAGTCAGGAGTAGGGGCCGAGTCACACGATCAGTGTGAACCCCAAATGACAGCAGGAGAATGGACCAGTGTCCGGTGCAAGGAGCCAATGACATAACAAAAAAGAATACCTTACAGTTCCTGAGGGGAGGACAGAAAAAATCCCAGAGACAGAGAAAATAGGATTGGAGACTGGAATAGAGAATGGGAGAGTTTGGAGGAAGGGAGTAGGCAACAGAGCACAGAGAGTGAGGAGTGAGCTGGGACTGTCTCTGGAGGTGAGGGAGAAGGGAAATGCGATGGCAGGAGAAGTCAGGGCGAGAGAAGCTGGTGGAGCCCAGGAAGCGAGAGGCTTTCCTTTGGTAGAAGCCGCAATGTCTGGATCCTGGTTCCTGGTGGCAAATTGAGAAGGAGAGAGAGAGAGAACGAATCTAACAAGGTGGAACGCGGCAGCTCAGAGCAGGACTTGGCCAGAGCCTGGCTGGGCTCCTTGGCGAGGAGTATGTCCTCTGTGGTGTCCGAGTGTCCAACCTCAGAGCTCCGGAGGGTCCCACCGTGGTTATTTCTCAGCCATGGTGCTGGTCGCTCCTTTCCTTTGATCTCTTCAGTTGCTGGTGAATTCAGTGCTCTCCCAATGAAGAGAGAGGAAGGGTCGGAAGAGAAGCCCAGCCCGCTGCAGCGAGGTGGACAAGGTAACTGGGCCTGAATCCCACATCTAAACAAACTGTTACCTGATTAGATCACCGTGTGGAGGAAGAAAAGTCTTTCACCCCGACTCCCTGCGCCCCTCTTGGCTGAGAGCCACTGCTGCTGCCCCTAGATGCAGCCAAGCAGCCACACTAAGCTCGTGGGACAAGGCATGGTGAGGGCTGGGCATCACTGCTGCTGCCTCTGCAGCCTCCATACTTGGTAGGGCTGTCATTGTTGCAGTGACAGCCACCCTGGTTCTTTGGCAGCTGAGGCAGCGCTGCTTTAAATAGAGCTGCTCACTGGGTTGCCCTCAAGACATTTGCTGGGGATTTTCCACCACCTCCTGCAGTGGTGGTGGTTAGCACCTCCCCCACCTCATGACAGCTGACTGCAGAAGACTCAGCACCCGTGTGCAAACCCCAGTGCTGAGAGCTCAGAGTGGCACGATGGTGCAGAAATTCTGCGTTTAGCAGCTAACTGTGCGCCTGCGGGAGCCCACCCCTTTTGCCTATATAAGCTTGGTTTTTCTCATCTTTTGAGTGTCAGTCCGGGAAAGCTCCATCCCAGGTACTACCTCCTTTGTGCTGCAGCAAAAGCCCCAGTTAAGTTCATTCAGATGCTTTGATTTTGCCTATTCATGATTTCTATCTCAGACTGCATCCTCATCGGCCAAGCTGGTCACACTAGGAGCTGTTAACACTGAAGGCTGGTGAGGGGGATCGCCAGCTCTCGGAGTTGTTAACACTAAGAGCTGAGAGCTGATCCATCTGCAATTTCTATCAGCTTCCATCTTCCTTAGCCAAGTGGCCCCAATTACATGTTGCCAGCCCAGACCTGTCCTCTCAGCTCACTCACCTAATAACCTGAAATCTCCCCATGAACCATCTTGCTTGGATGCCTTCCAGAAATCTCAGGTTCAGTGCTACCAAAAGGGAGCTCATCATCTTGCGTGAAACTAGGTCCCCCTCCACCTGATCCTCCTCCTTCTCCTTTGCCAGGGTTTTCTCTTTGGTAATGTGGACAAGTGTCCAGTTTTTCAAGCAAAATCTCAGGAATTCTCCTAAGTCCTTCTGTCCTCCAGCTTCAGGTCCCATCAGTCACTCAGTCCTGAGAGCATGACCTGGCAATAACATGGCCATTTTTTCTTTCTGTTGCCAGGACTGAGGGGAGGACAGCTCACTCCTCACTCTCTGTGCTCTGTTGCCTACTCCCTTCCTCCAAACTCTCCCATTCTCTATTCCAGTCTCCAATCCTATTTTCTCTGTCTCTGTGATACAAATCAGATTGCTGATAACTCTCTCTTGAACTTCAGCTGAGGTGCTTACAGAAGTATGGATGTGTTCACGCCACTTTTCTACCTGAACCCCAGTGTCTTTAACAAAGCTTGGGATTCATGGAATGTCCTTCACTAGGCTCCCAAGGCTCAGGCCACACAATCCTTCCTGTTTCCCCAGCCTCTATTCTTTCACTCCAAGAAGTCCTGCTGAGCCCCGTGATACTCCAGTTGCTTTTGCCCTCACTCTGTCTTCTATTTGGATCTGTTTTCTTGGCTTCTTCCCTAATTTGGCGGTCTCCTGCCTACGTGATACTTCCTTCAGAAAGCCTCTTCCTGGTCTCACCCAGGACTGCAGGTTTGCAGAGTGCTTCTCACCTCCTATGAGGCAGCACTCACTGTGCCAAAGTGGTGAGCATGTGCCATCTGTGGTGGACTGTGTGATCACGAGGCAGGGACCACATCTGACCTCTTCCTGCTGTGTCCTCTGAACCTAGCACGGGATCTGGCACATAATAAAACCTCAATTACTATTTATCAGGAAATGAAAGTATTCATATTTCAGTACCCTGAAAATTGGACACATATTTTGGTAAACATGATACTATGATGTATTCATATTGAAAGCTTTACAAAAATAGTTTTAAGGATTGTATTTATACTTAGAGTTGTCCCTCAGTATCAGTTATTCCTCCCCATGGATACCAAAATCAGGGATGCTTGAGTCCCTTATATAAAATATCATAGTATTTGCCTATACAAATGCTCTGGTATACTTTAAATTACCTCCAGACAACTCATAATACCTAATACACTATAAGTGCAATGTAGTTGGTTTACTCTATTGTCTAGGAGATAATGATGAGAAAAATAAGCTTATACATGTTGAGTATAGATATATTTTCCCAAGTATTTTTGACCTGTGTTTGATTGAATCTGTGGATGCAGAACCCCCAAATTGGAGGGTCCACAGTATATGTAACAAGCTACCTTTGTGAAAATTATCATAAGAATTAAGAACTTAAGATCTTTTTTTATTATTTGCTCTTTTTAGTTATATATGATAGTAGAACATTTTGACATATTAAACTTACATGGAGTATAACTTCCATAAGGTGGTTGTACGTGATGTGGAGTTACCATGGTTGTATATTCAATATGAACTTAGAAGAGTCATGTCTGATTCATTCTACTGTCTTTCCTATTCCCATCCCCCTGCCCTTCCCCTCTTCCCCCCATTTATTGTTACTTGTATTCTTGATGATTGCCATTCTGACTGGAGTGAGATGAAATCTCAGTGTAGTATTAATTTGCATTTCTCTAATTGCTAGAGACGTTGAATATTTTTTCATATATTGATCTTATTTCTTCTTCTGTGAAGTGTCTATTGAGTTCCTTTGCCCATTTGTTGATTGGGTTACTTGGTTTTTGTGTGTGTGTGTGTGTTTGTTAACTTTTTTGAGTTCTTAAATATATCCTGGGGATTAATGCTCTGTCTGAGGCGCAGGTGGTGAATGTTTTCTCCCATTGTGTAGGCTCTCTCTTCACATTCTTGATGGTTTCCTTTGCTGTGAAGAAGCTTTTCAGTTTGAATCCATTCCATGTATTGATTCTTGATTTTACTTCTTGTGCTTTAGGAGTCTTGTTGAGGAATTTGAGAACTTAAGATCTTAATCAAGTTGAGAATTAAGTTAGTTATATTAAAACATCAAGTTTGGCCAAGATAATTATCAGTAAGTAGATGAGTATAGCAGGTAAAGGTGAAAGAGGGGAAAAAAAACAAACATGCAGAGTTCAGGGTGAAAAGGGAAGCACTTGAGAAGGTGGGACAGAAAGCAAGGTGCAGATGGAGTGGAGATGAGGCCAGGAGGTGAAGTCGGCAGTAGAGTCATCCCCTGGCGTCAAGTGCAGGGAGAGGGCAGGATACCATGCGGCTTTGGATTTATACATTGCATTTATAGTGTATTAGGTATTATGAGTTGTCTGGAGATAAGCGGCTTTTTAAGGGGGACAGATACAAATTCTTTAAGAATCACTCTTTGTTGTAGGGGCAAGGCGATGCAGATACGAGGATCTGGTGCCCACTTCCCTTGTGAGTCCGGAGGACCAGCAGAAGGCAAGGACCATGCAGAGCCAAGTGGACGAAATCATAGGTAAGACTGACAGGTCACCTGGGACCCTGTGAGTGACCCCAAAGGTGACTGCCTGGGCATGTCGTTGGAGGCCAGTCGGTGGCCTGGAGAGCACAGAATGAATGCAGAGAGACCTGGACTCTGGCGCTCAGTCCAGAGAACTTTGACTCAACAAGGCAAGTTTGTGGGGAATGAGAATGTACCCAGAGACCTTCGAGGGGCGGGGAATAGCAAAGAGGACATATATCGGCAAGGATGCCAGGTGTGTGCGGAGTAGAGGTGTGAGGATAAAGAAGGGCAGAAACAGGAGGCACCTGACAGGGAACACAGAGGCGGAGAAGACAAGGAAGTGGGAGCTGGCAGAGGCCAGGAAGTGGGTAGAGACAGCTGGAAAGGAAGAGGAGAGTGAGGGAGAGGGAAATGGAGATCAAGACAATCAAGGCTGGCCAGTGGCCATCTTGGCGTGCAATGGCAGAAACCAGAAAGATCACAGGAGCCGAGCCATTCCTGCCTAACAGTCACCCAAGCTTCTGAGTCTTCTCCAGTGTCCCTGTGTTATGTATGGGTGTCCAGCTGTGCTGGCTTCTGAGTCACACTGACGTCCCTCACAGATTTGTTTCTCTGCAGTTATCAGCAGTGAGGACTCGCAATCCAGTGACGAGGAAGAGCCCCAGGTGTCTCCTGCTCAGCACCAAGGTGCAGGATTCAGGCGGGTGAGGAGGGCGCGGACCTCTGCCACGGACTCCAGGATCTTAGAGCTCCTGCTTGCTGGTGCACATGGCTCGGAGGGCACTACCAGCCAGGGCCCTGCTAACCCTGGGCGCCCATTCTTCACACTTGCCTCGGCTGGCCCTTTGGGAAACATGGGAAGGCAGGGCGGTACTCCCTGACTGCTGCCTTCACGTCTGAATGTCCGTGTAGAGACAGGATGTATGTTTCTGTTTTACACCTTTTTCCTTCACGTGGTTGTACATATGATAGTATAACAAAAATTACATAATTTGTCTTTGTCTCCAGTTCTTGATCCAGAGTGGTAAAACCTCTGGAATTTCCAGTGAGAAGAGCATCTTTTAAAAATCAAGCATATGATTACAGGGTTAGATCTTTCAGCCCCACTTCTCGACCTCTGGGGAGAAGAGAGGAATGGAAGATTGAGTGCATCAACAATGGCCAATAATAAAATGTCATGTCTGCACAATGACAGCTCAGAAAAGCCCCTGAACAATGGGGTTCAGGGGCTTCCTAGTTGGTGAAGTCACCGATGTGCTGGGAGCTGAAGAGAGCACACACCTCTCCTTCCCCTGCGCCCCCCCCCCCACTGTCTGCTATACACATACCTTGCTCTACCATTTGGCTGTTTCAGAGTTGTATTCTTTATAATAAAGCCACAATCACCTAAAACTCTTTTTTGAGTTAATGTAAGTCATTCTGATTCTCTAACCTGAAAAGGGGAGGGTCCTGGGAACTCCCAAATATGTAGGCTGCTAGACAAAAATGTGGGTGACCTGATCACAGGGCTTCTTATACTAGACTCTTTCCAGCCATGGGCCTCTGTTGTCACTGATAACAACTGGGTCATGATTCTGAGTCAATCTTGTCTTTTCCATTCATACTTTATTTTTATTTATTTTTGTTAGGAATGTGAGAATTTTTGTTTATTTATTTATTCTAATTAGGTATATACAACAGCAGAATGCATTTTGGTTCATTGTATACAATTGCAGCTCAACTTTTCATTTCTCTGGTTGTACCTGATGATGGCATCACACCATATGTGCAGTCACACATGTACCTAGGGTAATGAAGATCATCTCATTCCACCATCTTTCCCGCCCCCATATGCCCTCCCATCCCTCCCTCTCCTTTGCCCAATCACAGTTCCTTCATTTTACCATGCCCCCCCACCTCCCATTATGGATCAGCATCCACATATCAGAGAGAACATTTGGCCTTTGGGTTTTTGGGATTGACTTACTTCACTTAGCATGATATTTTCCACCTCCATCCATTTACCTGCAAATTCCATAATTATATTCTCTTTTAATGCTGAGTAATATTCCATTATGTATATACCACAATTTATTTATCCATTCATCTATTGAAGGGCATATAGGTTGGTTCCACAGTTTAGCCATTGTGAATTGAGCTGTTATAAACATTGATGTGGCTGCATTACTATAATATGCTGATTTTAAGTCCTTTGTGTATAGACTGAGGAGTGGGATAGCTAGGTCATATGGTGGTTCCACTCCAAGTTTTCTAAGGAATCTCCATACTGCTTCCCAGGTTGTCTGCACCAATTTGCAGTCCCACCAGCAATGTATGGAGTATGCCTTTTTCCCCACATTTTCTCCAACACTTATTGTTGTTTGTATTCTTGATAACTGTCATTCTGACTGGTGTGAGATGAAATCTTACAGTAGTTTTGATTTGCATTTCTCTAATTGCTAGAGATGTTGAATATACAGATTCAATGTGATTCCAATTAAAATCCCAATGTCATTCCTTATAGAAATAAAAAAAGCAATCATGAAATTTATTTGGAAAAATAAGAGATCCAGAATAGCCAAAGCAATCCTTAGTAAGAAGACTGAAGCAGGAGGCATCACAATACTAGATCTTAAACTATAATACAAAGCTATAGTAACAAAATGGCATGGTATTGGCACCAAAATAGACATGTAGACCAATGACACAGAATAGAAGACACAGAGACAAACCAACATAAATATAATTATCTCATCCTAGACAAAGGGGCCAAAAACATACATTAGAGAAAAGATAGCCTCTTCAACAAATGTTGCTGGGAAAACTGAAAAGTCGTATGTAGTAAAATGAAACTAAAACCCTATCTCTCACCATGCACAAAACTCAACTCAAAGTGGATCAAGGACCTAGGAATTAGACCAGAGACCCTGCGCCTAATAGAGGAAAAAGTAGGCCCAAATATTCATCATGTTGGATTAGGCCCTGACCTCCTTAAGAAGATTCCTAAAGTGAAAGAAATAAAATCAAGAATCAGCAAATGGGATGGATTCAAACTAAAAATCTTCTCAGCAAAAGGAACAATCAATGAGCTGAAGAGAGAGCCTACATTTTGGGAGCAAATTTTTGCCACGTGCATGTCAGATAGACCCCTAATCTCCAGGATATATTAAGAACTCAAAAAAACCTAACACCAAAAAAAGAACAACCCAATCAATAAATCAGCCAAGGAACTGAACAGACACTTCTCAGAAGAAGATATACAATCAATCAACAAATATATGAAAAAATGTTCAACATACTTTATTTTTGATCAGGAAGAGTGAGCCAGAGGTAGAGAATCTCATCTCTTTGTGGCTGGTGTCTGAACTGGGGGCCGTCTTGTGAGACTGAACTTTAAACTTGTGGGGCCCATGCTAACCCAGGGTAGTTAACCTCAGAATTGAATCAAGTTGTTGGGTGCTCAGTTTGGGTCAGGAAATTGGAGAATTGACTGGTATTGGAATGATGTATCTGTTATTGAAAAGGACATCACTCATTTGGTGCTAGAAAGAAATCACATACCTGTTCATACTGATACCATCTGCAAATAATAAAAAATTAAGTGACTTTTGTGATTTGTTTTCAATGCCACAAACATCAACAGATATAACCCCTGTTATTTAACCTCTTCCCTTGAAGTCCCTGTTTGAAAGGCTCTTCATATGCTCTCAAAATGTGAAAGTCAGAGTCCTGCTGAATGATTCGCTATTGTCACACATGAGCTCCATCTTCCCAGCCTGTGATGTGCTTCCTGCCTGGCTGTTATCTACCTGTGAAGCCACTGCTACATATCTCAGGTTTCTGTGTGGCATACTCTCCCAGCACAACGTTTTTTAGTAAATCATAGGATAACTCCTGTAAGAAATAGGCTCCCAAATGTTTATTGGCTCAAACAGTAAAGGTTCTATTCTTGCTCACACAATCAGTGTAAGGTTGTGTTGCCCTTTAAAGAAAAGGCGGGCAATGAAACACCATGTCTCTGAATGTCCATTTCCGTTCCCCCAAACCTAGTCACGTTAAGGGAAGAATGAGAGCAATTCTGGTGTGAATGTCCAATAACAGTGTTTGGCTTTCTCTCATGTTTGCTGGGAATTCTAAAGCTGATTTTATGCACATATGTCAGAACCGTTGCTCCTTGGGAGGCTGGTCAGACCAGGAGCAGCACCCTAAGGCTGATGATCCACTTAGCCGTCCTCTTTCCTGTGGTGACTGGTGAGGAGCAGAGCCTGGTGGAGAGGGGAGTGCCCATCCAGGCAGCTGCATGTGGACAAGGCATGGGGATGAATCGAAGGCATTACTTTCTGGTAAGGTGCTGGAGGCACTGCATGCAGCAGAGATCCACCCGTCTAGCCTGTTACCATGGAACCTTCTGGCAAAACACCTGTCTAGTCCATCACCACTGGACTTTCTGCCAAAGTACCTGTCTGGCCCATAACCACGAACCTCCCTGTAAGCATTTCTCATCAACCCTACATCTCATATCCCATCTCCAGGCTCTTCCTTGGTCTCTTGGCAACCTATTGCACTCCCCTAGCACAACTGGGCATAGACAGTACAAAGGTGGTTCTTGGTGTTGGGGGGTTTTGCTCCACTTAGCTATTTAGGGACTCTGGCTGACAGAGGTTCCAACATCTTCAACACATGGCTTCCAACATCTTCATGGGAGGAAGAGGCAGCGACATGTCAAACATATGGGGGCAAGTGGTCCGGCAAAAGGGAAGAGCAGGGTGTGAGAAGAGGGAGTAGGGTTCAGTGGAGATACTCCATGTGGGGGAGATGTGTTACTTTTCAGTACTAGGGACTTAAACAACATTAGGCCCAAATTAATTCAAAGGCAGGCCAAGATGACCCTGTGAGATCCCAAGTCAGTTTTTTTTTAAAATAATTTTTTAGCTGTAGATGGACACAATACCTTTATTTATTCTTATGTGGTGCTGAGGATCGAACCCAGTGCCTCACTCGTGCTAGGCAAGTAAGTGCTCTACCACTGAACCACAATCCCAGCCCCCAAGCTAATTTTTAGTGTTTTTTTTTTTTGAGGATACCTTCTGGGGTACTCCATTATCACACTCTGAGACTAGTCTGAGACTATGAGGGCTTTCATCCCTTGTGCAATGGTTAGAAGAGATAACCCTGTGGATTCTGTTACAAAAGAAGAACCCAGGTACCTTTAACCTATAGCCAATAATTAAAAAGGTAAACCATCTGTTGGAAATTGCCCATTTGTATCCACAGATAATATTCTTGAAGTGGATTTACATTAGCCAGGGATTCCATTTTCTATGTTTTTGTTACTTAAAATGCAAGAAGGCGAGAATTCTGAATTGATCATTCAGAATAAATTCACATTGGCCTTATGAACTGCATATATGTGGTAATCTTCTGGAGAAAAGAGTATTGGAGGCAAAGCATATCTTTATGCCTGCAAATACTAGAACATTAAAATTGCCTTCCATGTTCTATAGACCACAGAACACTGCATTCTTCTGTTAATCCATTATGTCCCATTGTTCTATAAAGGATTGAAAACCTGTGACTTAATGGGTTAGTGGAAAACTTGAAAGAAACTTTCTAGGTAAGAAGTTCTGCTATTTAGTTACTGCTAAAAATATAATCTTTTAGTTCACCCACCGGAACTCCAGATTATATTATTGACAAGGATTCTCCAGAATGAGATTGGTTTAGTATAGAGATTTCCAAATCACTTTTGTAAAATCCAATAATCTAAAGAAGTTGGCAGGGGAACTGGTATTACAGTGAAAACTGAAGCTTGTAAATATTTAAAGGATCTTGACAAATCAACATGGAAAATTCGAGGTAGAGCCAGGACTTTGATCATTCAGAATTCATTCCATCATTGTTTGTTTTGAGCTTCTTTTTTTTTTTTCCATAAGAAAAGTAGAGACAAAGCATCATTATGATGTCAATTCTGTCTGCCATGTGAGTTGTTGCCTAATTTCCTACTCTTTTCAAGTTCCTGTTTTTAACCTTCCCTGGTTCATTTTCTAGATCCCATGAAGCAGGCGACAAAGTAGAAAACAAACTCACTTTGGAAAATGCAATTATGAAATACCCAACAGCAAATAAGAACTTATAGTGTTACAATGAACATTTCTTTTCCTAGAGAAAACAGATTCAAATTTTTATATGTTTTCCAATTAGAAATACTTTTGTTTTGGCTTTAGATGGTCACACGATACACTCTGTAATGGTTAGGGTAGGCCGTCTACCCTGGTCAAGGAATATAGTGTGCCATGACTCAGGTTCTGTGGATGTGGATTTTTTCCACCTAAGAGGGGCCAGGATGGCAGCACAGCTCTCCTCCTTGTCCCTCGGGGCCCAGTTTGACGAAGGGAGGTATTGCTGTTTTTGACTTACTGCATCATGACCACCCTGGGTGGACATCCCTCCTCCCAGGGGACAGAGCATGGCAGACCTATGGGCCAGGCTTTGGCATCACCTCTCCCACTTCTGCCCACGTTCCTTCACTGGATGCCCATGGCGATGGCTAATGAGGAGTGCGGGGCTGATCTTTGGGGAATGTGGGTTAGCTGCGTGCTCAGGAAGAGGAGGAGAACTTGGATTTTGGCATTTATAGAGAGTTCTCTGCAATGCCTTTTAAAGAGCCTATATATGTTTTTTTTTTCTTTTTGCTGAATTACAACACATCTTGATGTAAAAACAAATGATGATATCTTACACATTCTATTTTCTTCAGAAAATCTACAGTAAAGGATCACTTCATAATCCCATAATATTCAATATTGCAGATAAAAAATAGAACAATTTAGAAAACTGCTGAAATTATCAAATGAAATTGACTAATACCTGATTGAAAAATTCAGGATTTCTCAGAGGTTAATACGAAGTCAAAAGTGATGGATACAATGTAAATTGTTTGTGCTTGTCCCAGGCTGTTGATAAACCCTCAGCCAGTCCTCTTCATTGCTTACATCTGTGGTTTTCAGAGCCAATAAGCTTTTCCCTGCTCCTAGGCCAGCTTCATAACACCCCATCCAGATGATTAAATATAGAGCAGACCTATGCAAAGTGTCATACTGATCTGATAGTGATACTTCTATACCATACTTGGAAACTTCCATAATAAATTCTTCCTCCAGAGGAACAAAAAGCAATTTTCATGTTGCTGTTATTTAGAATTATTCTCTTGCTTGAATTAGCATTTTATGTACAGAATTCTCTCTCTCTCTCTCTCTCTCTCTCTCTCTCTCTCTTTTTCTTTTGCATGGGGGATTGGTTACTGGGGATTGAACCCAGTGGTGCTTACCCACTGAATCACAACCTCAGCTCTTTTAATTTTTTTATTTTGAGACAAGGTCTTGCTAAGTTGCTCAGGGCCTTACTAAATTGCTGAGGCTGGCTTTGAATTTATGATCCTCTTGCCTCAGCCTCCCCAGCTGCTGGGGTTACAGGTGTGCATCACTGTACCTGGCTACACATAGAATTCTTACTATGTGTAGTTATGATAACTTCATGTGTTTCTGGAATGATTTAAAAAAATATACATTCATAAACTCACTTAATCTTCAAAATTACATACTCCAGTGATGAAATTTCATTATTCAAACGGTGGAAATGGTGCATTGGGGACTTAATTTTGACACTGAGGTTGGGGTTCTTCCCTGAAGGCTGTAGTGGATGCTCTGAACCACTAATACTAATACGTGGTACTCTGTCCACAGCCAGAAGACAGTGGATCTGGGAAGCCATTAGGCAAGGCTGACAGATTTGTCTGGTAAAGAAACATGGAACCATTTAGGATTCAGTTTATTACTTGCCAAAACAGCAAAATCAAGAAAAGCAAAGGTGCCAGCTCCCCATGTCCTTATTGACAAAATTGGCCGAATGATGCAGTTCTCAGAATGCACCCTGCTATTAAATGACACCCGACTGTACATACATGTTAATAAGCTGTTTTTCTTTTCTCTTGTTAACCTGTTCATTGTGACAGGCAACCCAGATAAATACTTCGAAGGGTAGAGGGAAATTACTTTTTCCTTGTCTGTGCAAGCGTCTAAGAGCCAGTCCCCAAGAGCCAAGAATCGTCAAGGCTTCAAACAGCCTCTGGAAGCTGAAAAACAATCACTGAAGGGCTTAATATAAGATTTGAATCAATGAAAAGACATGATGTGATCCCTTATAGAAAGATTGGATACCTTTAATCGTAATTTTCACTCTAAATTACTCAATTAGAGACTTGGGTAAGACAGTTTTAAGTTTTATTAAAAAAAAGGAACAATAACAATAATAAAAAATGAAAAAAGAATTGTGACATGAGGTTATTTGTACAGGAACAGGCAGAGTGAATAGAGGACCATCAGAGCACCATGTCACTAGTGACACAACCAGAGGGTCCCCAGGGGGTACGCAGACATGGACTATGTTAACATAATAATGTGCTTAAACTGACAGATGCTCTCGCTTGTTTCTTGGATTGAAAAAATGTTTTTGAAATACTTCTCAAATATGGCTTCTATCTTAAGAGGCAGCTGGATGAATTTGTGGTTCTGGAAAAGCAAAAACAATAACCTTCTTAGCCATTGTTCAATGAGCCTAGACTCCCAGTCTCAGGTACTCCAGAGCCTCATTTAGACTCCTTCAGACGTCAAGTGAGAATCAACCCAGTCAAGAGGAGTTTATATTCCCTGATAGCTTGATTATTTCTTTTTGTTGGGAAGACAGAGAAGCAAAAAATAGCACTACAGGTTGAATGTCCTTCATCTGAAATGCTTGGGATCAGAAGTGTTTTAGATTTTTTTTTTCAGATTTTGGAATATTAGGATGTACATAATGAGATGTTTTGAGGATAGAACCTGAGCCTAAACACAAACTTCATTTATGTTTCATATAAACCTGCTATGGATAGCTCAAAGGTAATTATATGCAATATATTTAATAACTTTATACATGAAACAAAATTTCATGCTGTGGAATTTTTCACCCATGATGTCATATTGTCCCTCAAAACATTTCAAATTTTGGACTATTTCATATTTTGAATTTTGATGTTCCACCTGTAGATCACGCTCTAATTCTTATTCAGAAAATCATCAATTTAATTTTTTAAAACATTCTTGCTATTTGATTTTTTTTTGCTATTTGATTTTTAAAGACAATATTATTCATAACAGCAAAATATTGCAGAAATATCCAAGGCCAATCAATGGTGTCTTCTTATTTCCTTCACTGTTATTCTTTGGAAATCCTTGTTAGCTTTTCGATAATGGCACCAGGAAATTCTGATGGAAAGTGTTATGGTTTGTATGTGAGGTGTCCCCCAAAAAGCTCATGTGTAAGACAGTGCAAGAAGGTTCAGAGGACAAATGATTGGGTTGTAGGAGTCTTAACACAATCAGTGATTTAATCCCCTGATTGGGATTAACTGAGTGGTAACTGAAGTGGTGGGGTGTGGCTGGAGGAGGTGGGAATTGGGGCGTGGCTTTGGGTGTCTATTTGTATCTGCAGAGTGGAGTCTCTGCTTCTTGATCACTGATGTGAGCTGCTTCCCTCCGCCACACTCCCCAGCTATGATGTCCTGCTTCACCTCAAGCCCCAAGGAATGGAGCCATCTGTCAACCTTTGAAACTGTGAGCTCTCAAATAAACTTTTCCTTCTCTATAGGTGTTCTGGTCAGATCCTTTGGTCACAGCAGTGAAAAAACCTGACTAAAAAGAAATCCAAGATTTTGAAATTTGAGAAATTCAGTTTGCTATCTTCTTTTAGAGAAGAGCAAGACTAGATGCCTTTAAAATACACTTCTACTTCCTGTGGAAGATAATGGGTCTGCAGGGGCAGTTCTTCATGGGCAAGAATCAATAGTCTCCAAGCGAGCGGACTCGGAGTCCTAGCGTGGTGTCTGCAATGGCATCTGCTGGTTTGTTGTTATTTTTCCCACTTGTGCCACAGGGCTCTTAGAATATTTCCAGAATTTTTGCTGCTATAGGCTTGCCACATGGGAGGGCAACTTTACCTGATATAAAATGAAAGGCAAAGTTACTTAAAGAGAAGGGTTAGCAGGGGACCACTCACTCTGTAGAAGGCCTTGTTGTTCAGAAAGATGAGGCGCATGTCCCGCACAAACCCCTCCACTCGGTGGTACTTCTTCTTATTCAGCCTTTCCTTGACCTTGTTTAACCACATGTGCTCCTGGGGGTCTTGAGTCTGTTGAGGAGAACATGGAGCGGGGGCCATTAGCATGGTCCAGGCCTGCCTCCCACACATCCCAAACACTACGGTCTGAACGTTTGTGACCCCACTTTCTCCGATTTTTGTTCCAAAATGCTAACCCTCGAATGATGGTGTTAGGAGGTGAGTCTTGGGGAGCTAATTATGTTAGGAAGGTGGAGCCCTCAAGAGTGGATTTGTGTCCTTATTAAGACTCCAGGAGGTCCCCCCCTTCTTTCCACTAGGTGAGAACACAGTGAGAAGTGGCCCTCTGTAGCTTCTCCAGAACCCCCCAGGCACCCGGGCCTCAGACTTCCAGATAAATTTCTGTTGCTTCTAAACCCATTAGTCTGTGGTAATTTGTTAGGACAGACTGAACAAAGACAAGGCAAAGATGATGGGAGCTTGGACTCATAGGATTCAGATCACAAGTTTGACTAATGCAAGTTTCTGGCTTTGTTGCTGTTACTTACATAATATGGTTCTTGGGCAAAAAAGGCACTTTGTGAATAACAATAGACCTTCAATAGGATCAGCTCACATTTCTGTAAAAGACAGAGGAGATTTTAAGGAAAAGGTAGCATGGAGAGAAAGAGCCTGAAGGCAGTCTAGAGAGAATGCATGGCTCTCAGACCTGCGGGCTCTTTGAAATAAAAAGGGAATGGGGATTTTCTCTGGAATGTGAATTTTGGTGGTAGGTCAAGTAGTCAAAACACATCACGGGCCAGTGATTGCCATGGAGCACCATTTCTCCCACCTCTGCCAGTCTGTGCTTCTCTGTGTGAACAGAAAGGAGGGAGCTTCAGGGTCACACTGACTTACCAGCTGTTCCTCAGGCAGCATAGGCCTCTTCAAGACCTCAGATTCCAGATGACATGGTTGGCTTTCTGGGTGCTTTTCCCAGGCTTTTGTCCTGCATAAGGTGCAACTCCACTGGCTCCTGAGAGGTCAGGTGTAAAGTGAGCAAGGGCACCGTCTGTGAACCAGCCACTGTTCCCATGGCTGCTAAAGTTCAAGAGTGTCTAGTAGTTTCTGCCATGTATCCAACGTCCATATAGCCAAGGACATCCCCTTCCATCAATAGTGGTCACAGGGTGACAGTGTGTTGACTGAGATGTCCCAGGGAGTGGTGGACTCTTGTTCACCTCAAAACTTGGAATTCCCATCTGAGTCACTGTGAGCCTTGGTCAACTATTGGAATTTAGTACTTTAAGCCCAGAAGTTCTGGAACTTGATGAGTCAATCAGACCTTAGTTGAAATCAGGAAACCAGCTCCCATTTCTCAATTGGGCAGAGTAAGCACAGCGCACAGGCTAAGGCAGCCTCTCCTCTATCTGTGCCAGAGCTGTACCTAGAATCTGAGCTGCAGAAACTTCTTGGAAGGGAAATCTACTGACAGGGTGTCAGATGGCTTCCATTTGCCCCAGGATTCATTCTCTAATCTCTTCCAGGTTCTAGGAGGTGCTAGGAGGATCTTGGTAAATCAGGTGGACACAATGACCCATCCTAGCAATGTCAGCCTCTTCTTGGCCACCCAATGCTTACTCAAGGGGCCCATTATGTGCCCATGGTGAAGAGATGGGAACTATAAGTGGGTTGGACAAAAGAGCTTCTGTTTTCTGCCTCTGCAGATTGCCCAACCAGTCAAAAGCAGAGGCTTAAACTGATCCTCTGAGATGTTGTACTAGGAGCAGGGGACCACATCACAGAAGGGCAGTGCTCTGTCCCCACAGGGACAGTCACATTCCTGGTAGAGATCATTCTCCTGGCCACCGTAATTCTGCCCACAAAACCATTCCCAGAACCCCTTATCGACCTCTGTGGAGTCATGCACCCCATCACCTCTGTCCAAATACACTCAGCAAAAGAAGTGCATCCCAGGGGGTTAACACCGACAGAAGTCATGGGTCTTTTTAATGTGACCGGTTACCCAGACTTCAATTGGCTTGATAGACTGTTGGGCTGGACTTCTGACGGCTCATTACAGAACCAGCTTGATCAACTTTGCAATGTTCCCACAGCAGATGATATATGCCTAACATCAGCAGTCAGTTTCTGATATTACTGCCTGTCAGAGTGCACGGTCTGGGAACCAAGTAGAAGAGGTGGGAGTGACAGGCAGCTCTTACTACTATACCCAATAGGGGCTGGGATTGTGGCTCAGCGGTAGAGCGCTTGCCTAGCATGGGCGGGACCCGGGTTCGATCCTCAGCACCACATAAAAATAAAGGCATTGTGTTGTGTCCATCTACACCTAAAAAATAAATATTAAAAAAAAGAGGTGGGAGTGACAGCTCTTACTATTATACCTAATAACCACTTGCAAAGAACTTTTGCTTTCCATGAAATCTACTGTTGCCAGCACCATTAAATAGCTCTGGATGATGCTTTTGGATCTTGAGATGCTAAGCATCCTGCTCCTTCTGCATCAGGGTGCACCCTACCAGTGACAGAAGCTCTGCAGGATATGTGTGCATGGTGAAAGGAACCATACCCCAAGAAGAAAGGACAAGGGGTGTGGATGAAGGTGCTTTACCAACCTCTGAGCATCTACTGGTGGGATGTGGCAGTTCTGATGGTATGATCTTGAACAAGTATTGCAGAAGACCAGCTGTTTCTCTTGGCGGCATACTTCGCACTTATTTGAGTTTTTTTGCTAGAAGGGAAATGGTGTAGACATCACTGGGATTTGTGAGACCCAGAAAGTTAACACGTTGGGATTCCAGAGTGTGTGGGCTTTCCATGTACCAAGGTGACGCTTATAAACCTCTCTCCTCAAAATATTAAGAAACAATATTGAGTGGAGATTTTATAAGAGGACATTCTGGTCTACCACAAAGTTCAGAAGACAGTTGCTATGTGCCACACCAGAATATTTTTCTTCATGAAAACAATGATTCTGACATGGAATAGCTTGCAACAATAGCATCAAAAAAGGATGAATTAAAAATAATCTGATATACTTATTATGTGTCTGGTAAAGTCTGGTCCAGGAACACAGTGTCTTATCTAGTTGTCTATTTTTAAAATTGACTCAACGAAGGGTGAGTCAATTAAATTAATGAAATTTAATGAGATGGAATAAACTTCTGAGACATCATTGTATCCCATAGTCTTGGCCATAAGCTTCCCAGGAGTTGAAGAAAGGGTCTGGTAAGAAGGCCCTAGACTATGGGTTCTGTGTCTGGTGGGCCCTGGACCTGTGGCAGTACCATTGGGTGGAAGGACCATGGGTGCAGATGACCAGGTGAGTGCCAGGGAGGACAGGTTCTGGGGATCTGGAGGAAGATCCCCCATGACTCAGCCAACTTGGCATGTGAGGTGTGGAACACCATTTCTAATGTCCAAGGAGTATGGTCATGGCGACTGCCCAGGGTTGAAGACTGAGACTCTACCCTCATTTTCTGTGCCCAGGAAAGAGATGGTAAACTTGTTCTATAAAAGGAAGATGGCTGGGCCCAGAAAATTGGCCAGTACTGAATTTCAGACCAATCTCAATTTATATGACCTTTAGCCAGATTTAGTTTCATTTAGTTAAGAATTTGACAGTATCTATCAGGATTGTGGAGAGACTCACACATGTTCAAAATGACAGAATTTGTAGGTCACGATAGAAATTGGCTAAGGAAGGAGCTCACTGTTAAGCAAGGGAAATTACATTTCCCCTCTCTTTTTTGGTGAAAATTTACATAACAACTAACATTGGAGCCCTACATGCTATAATTTCTGGGTATGGGGGCCATGTGTCTATGTTAGAGAACTACCCTGACGGATGGGCCCTGCCTCCTCTCCTGGAACCATCTGAGCAGAAAGAGAAGAGTTCAAGGAGAACTAACTGTCTGGAGAGACGTGGGTAGTGCCTCTAGCCCTGGCTGAAATACCTGCACCCTGGGCTGGAAGGAGGAATGCACATGCTCATGTGACCATCTAGTAGTGAGGCTGGGGTGGGGATTCTGGTGGGTGGGGAGGAGGTGGGGAGGTGACAGGGAGCACGGTTCCATGTCTTCACAGTTCTCAGGTGGGACCTCTGTGTCTAGTCCTTCTAGAAATACTCTCTCTGCACCGTTCCATGATACCCCGTTCTCTTGGGGTCTTCTCTAACACTCTGTCTTTCTTTTCAGGTTCTGCCCTTGGAACGTGGGGATTCCTTGGGACTCTGTCCAGCGTCCTTTGTTCATTTCATTCTTCTCAACAACCAGCTCCTTCCATGACCAAACTCACCATGTGTGTCCCAGGACTTTTAGACCTGTATCCTGGTCTCCTTTTGAGCCTCCAAACATTAAAACTCTGCTCTTTGTCCTAGTGAAATGCATTTTGTCATGTCTAAAACCCATCCTGGAACAATATCCATTCCTTGTCTTCCTGTGTCACATCTGCTCCTCATTTATGCTCCTCATCTCCCCACAACCCACCCAGAAGCCTGGAAGAGAATTCTGATTCCTCCTGGTCTCCATCTCAGGGATCCGACCCTACCCCTGTCCTGCTGATTCTAATTTTAAAATATCTACCTCTTTCTCGGTGCTTCTGTAAGGTCTGCTGCTATGAGGGTGTAGAGCAAAATGCCAAAGCAAAATGCCCTGCTATTTGGGTTTAAAGTCATTAGTAGTCATTCCTGAGCCCAGTGAGTTGAGATGATTTATTTATAATTTCTAATTTCTCTTGATCTTATAAATTCAAGATAAGAAGAGAATCAAAAGTCACCCATATGAGCAAATTCTAGGTGGCAAGATGTATCTGGCCAATGTGTTCCCTTTCAATAAGAAAACTTGAGTGGCCTGTTAGGGAAATCATTGGGCACACCTCCAAGGACTCCCAAGGTCACCCTTGCATAGAGCCCGGCAACCATTTTTCCTTTTTGTCCTAACAGGTGAGACTTGTGCATGCTGACCATTATTTTTAGGTTTCTGGGTCAAGATTCCTGAGTATCATCTTATAAATACAGGGCAAGTGGGCCTTGAGAAAGAATGATTACTACAGGCAAATCCCATGCTGGAGTTACATGGTGTAGGAAGCCTGCAGACTTAAGGTTTCCTTCCTTCTTTCCTTCTTTCTTTCGTACTTTATTTTATGATGGTGATAAAAACCAGGGACTAGAGTGTGCTAGGCAAGTGCTCTACCATTGAGTCGCATCCCTGTCCCTCTCTTTAATCTTCTTAGGAAGAAAAATTTGTTCTTTTGCTCAGCAGTGGTTTCTAATCTGCTGTAGAATAGAGTCACCAGGAAGTTTTTAAAAAATTCAGGGCTGGGGTGTGGCTGAGTGGTAGAGTGTTGGACTGGTATATGAAAGGTTCTGGGTTAGATCCCCAGCAAAACACACACACACACACACACACACACACACACTTTAGATGGCCTGGGGCTCCAGGACCAGAGATTTTTCAACTCAGTGATTCTGGGTTGGTGGCGAATGTGCTCAGGTGGCTCTAATTCACAGTCATCAGGTGAGACCTCTGGGTCTAAGGCAATAGTATCTGGATCAGCAGCATCAATATCACCTGGACGTGTTAGAAGTCCACCGTCTTGGGTTCTACCCCTCAGGTGCTGTATCAGGGGCCAGGATGGGACCCAGCCAGCGGTGGCCTGCCTGGCTCCAGGGGGATATCACACACACTACAGATGGAGCAGCCCTGGTCTACAGCCACTCACAATAGGGGCTGCGCTAAAGAAACTAACAGAGGAGCTTTGGAAAATCATCATTCTCGGGAAGCACATTAAACCAATGACATTAGAATCTGGGGGGTGACCCCCACCCCTGGTGATTGCAATGTGCAGACAAGGTTTTCTTCTGAGCAAGGGCTGGGCTTGAAGAAGGGTGAGGACATCCTCACTGCAACAGTTGCCTTTTCATCTTCACAGAGGGTTTGACTATGGGCTGCAAGAACCATGACTGTTGTCAATCAAGTTATCCAGACTCCAGATGTGAGAGCTCTTCAACCACTGAAGGGTCCCAGCTCCAGCACAGGAACACCGGCTGTGTTGAGGTACCTAGATCTTGTTAGGGCAGTGCATTTGACAGCAAACCAGAGGGCACGGCAACCCCCACTTTTTATCCCTCTTGCTGGCATCCTGCATCAGTCCAGCTGCATAGCATTCTATAATGAGAGGTGTCCCCTGCAGTTGTGCAAACACCAGACCTACCTAAAAGGTGCATCTCATTTTCATGAAAAGAATCCAGGTGTGATTTGGCTTAGAAAGAGGAGTCATCTATGATTTGGGCAGACCCCAAAGCAGGCAGCATTATGGCAAGCCGAAAATGGACAGGATGCATGGGAACAGAATGCTTTGCACATTATTAAGCACCAGCCAAGCAGTTTGAATAAAAGCGCCCTGTGATTTGCTGAGTGGTGATGGTTTTGTCCTAACCAGCTACAGTACTCCCGATGGCTCCCTTGAGACTGGCCACAGGGGCTCCAAGAAGGAGCCACTTGCTCTGTTGTGCATATCTATGCATGATTAAGGACAGGGTCCAGGGTCCACACTTCGAATTGCCAGCTGGGCCCAGCCTGTTCCCTCAGGATGATACTGAAGACCATCTTGAGCTCTTTGCCTGCATCTGAGTGGATGTCGCATATTTTCCTGTCTATCCTGCCTTCTTTAAAGAGCTGTTTTCCAATCAAACTTGCTGCACCCCCTAATCTTCAGGCCAGACCTGTATTTTCCACTCAAGCTCTGCCTCTAGATACCCCAGTTGTCTAAGTTCAGCCTCCCATACCCACTTTTGAGGGGAGATGAGGGCACGGGAAGTTTTCCAATTAGACTGATGGAAAGGGTGGTTTCAGTGGAGACACCCAGCCTCAGAGCCATGTCCCTGGCTGGTATTCTTTGTTCATTACACACAGCAACATACTCCAACAGGGAGTGAGCGCGTCAGGGAGAAGCAGACATGATACAGGACATGTACCAGGGCAGAGGTCTGGGGATAAGCTGGACATAGTACTTACATGGGGGTCAACTAAGACATTGTTGAGAGACTCCCGTGTTTTCCTCTGAAAGAGAGAAACTTGGAGTGAAAATATTGAATGTGATGTTTTATTAATCACATATTTGAATAGACTTATTTATTGAAGGGATTTAGGCCATATCCTTCTATTTGTTTTGTTTTGTACCTGCTTTTATGGGCTATTTGCCCTAATGAGAATGAGAACACATTAAATTATGTGTCTGAGACCGTTCAGTCCAGTGAAAATTCCTTTCCCTGGCTCTAAGACTCAGGGCCACTCTGTGTGAAGTCATGCAGGGAGTCTGGCCCTCCTTTCCTGGTTGAGTTGGAGAAACCTCACTGATGCTCCTACCTGCAACCCTCCAGCATTTTCTGTATATAAGGAGGTGTCCTGCCACCCAGAGAGCTGCAGTGAGAATTAGGCTGAGGACTCATCCTTCAAGGCCCCCTGTGACCATAGGGCCCAGTCCTGGAGGCCATGCAGGTGTCCCTCAGAAGACTTCCACTGCCTCCTGCAGCTCTCCTGGAGCCCCTCCCTGAAGACAAAATGTGTCCAAGGTCCTTGGGGCTGTAGCGCCTCTTCCTGAAGAGAAGAACCTTTCCACTTCCCCTGAACCCCAGGAGCTGGCCTTGACCTTGGATACCTTTGAAATGATGTGCACTCCTTCCAATCTGGAGCACTGGTGGCCTCACATTTGCCTTCAGCCTGGGGCAGAGAGGTCATAGACAAAGCACCCGATGTGAAGCAAGGTACAACTGACTGAAGAGGTGACCCTCTCACTGCTCCTCTCTGAGAGGCCTGGAATGGGCCCCCACTGTATTAGTTATTCTCTCAGGTGAGACAAGGAGAACGCAGTCCTTGGGGCCTGCTGTCTGGGCCCCCCTCGGCTGCCTTTGATCAAGCTCGTTGCCTGGCACTAGTACTGCTCCCCAGATGGCTGGTGATTGAATACTCGAGGGCATGACGAGATGAACACGGTCATGACTCAGAAGAAGAGGTTTCTTAGCAGCCAGGAAGTGATCATCTTGGACTTTCAGATCTTATTAGCCCAGAGAGTCTTAGCTATCGCCAGCAGGTTTGATCAGGAACAGAGAAGATGCTGACAGTAGCACCTGCCGCATGGCGCAGAGAGTGACATGGGCATCAGAAGCCAACGGCCGTGGAAGGAAGGCCTTGGAGAGAGAAGGATGAGTGACATTCAACCCAACTAATCATCCCGGGCAGAGTCACCCCTGGCTCTGGGGCTGCGAGGACATGTTTGGCCTTAATAAATAGATCAAATAATGTCTCTTTTTCCAGAAAACCCAATGGATCCAGAGCCTGGTCACTGAGTGTCTGGCCAGGAAGCCCGCGAGCAGAGAGTTCCAGAGCCGGCCTTGTGAGGACTGGATTCTTGATGTGGAAGAGAAATACAAGCTCACCAGGGTCAGAGGTCAGGGAGTGGCGGTTCCCCCATCTCCTCGCTTCACCAGGTTCTGGGACAGCCAGGCTTGGAGAGGCCACGCAAGGCACCGACAGGCTCACACCTTCCCTGCAGTCCACACAGCAAGGAAACTGCTCCTCCCTGCACTCCACAGACCACTGCCATGAAGGAGAATCCGCCTTTATGGATGGAAGTGAGGTCTGTACAGACCCTCTGGCGGGGTCAAAGGGCCTCTCACAGAGGACAAGATTTTCCATGTCAGCAGCCGTAGTAATCCATATTGTGTTACTATAACAAAATACCCATGTCCGTTTTTATTAGAAAAACAAAGAAACGAGGTTCTGGAGGTTCAGGAACCAACATCTGATGATGGCCTTGCTGCAGAGTCCAAAGGTGATGCAGGACATCGCGCGGCAAAAGACAGGGAGTGCGTGTGGACAGCATCTGGTCTCGCTCCCTGTTCTTACAAAGCCACCGTATTCAGCCTTCGGGGCTCCACTCTGGTGACCTTATCTAATCCTAATCACTTTCCAAGAGTCCCACCTCTGGACACCATCGTTGGATTCAGTTTCTGTCCTCTTAATACCTCACAAAGGGGATGAAATCGCAACACACGAACCCTTGCGGAGCACACTCAAATGACATCCAAACATCACGGCAGACTTGCAGGGTACTTCTGCCTTCAGTCACTATATTCTCAAGTGTGTCATAAAGGAAAAACAATTCTCTTGAAGAAGTGTGTGTGTGTGCGTACGTGTGTGTGTGCGCGTGGTGTGTGTGTGTACGTGTGTGTGTGTGTTTAGTAGAGGAAAGACAGAAAAGAAAGGAGTCTGGTTTTTACTGTTGCTTCCCTGTGACACACCTTCCAAGGGGAAGTTTGCAATAGGTCATCTGGAGGGACCCTGGGATATTTCTCGGAAAACTTTTGCTCCATTCTTATTTCATTGAAGACACAACCCCCCAAACAGTGACAGACAGTGCTTAAGATGAGAACGCAGAGACAATGGCCATTAGAAGTATTGTTTTGTGAATTGCTAATTATGCTTGCTTTTCCAGTTCCAGCCCCATTATTTTTTTGTTTAATTCTAAGATAATGTGGCACTCAGACCTTTCACTAACACATACATACAAGGACAGTTTTGCTTTATTGTCTATTTTTAAGGATGGTTCCCACCGCCATCCATCTCACGTGTTCTAATGCTCAAAGAAGTTCTGACCTCTTATGCTAAGAAATGTTTGAAAGCAGCAACTACACAAACACCATTTGATGAAGACAGATTTTATCATAACTGATCAATTTAAAACAGAAATGGAAAATCAACAATTTGACGGTTGAGACATTGGCAGAAGGTCATGGGATAATCACCTTTTTTCTTGTTATTGGTGGGTTTGGTAGATGCCCTGCCTGAAAGAGAGAAAAGATTGATCAATGATGTGATGATGGGGCCTTATTTTTGATTTTTGAGGATGGTATTTCTGACTGCCTTCCAGATCTTTCTACCTGGATGTCTCACTGTCAACTCAAACTCAGGTGTCTTCGTGGAGGTCATTTGGGATTGAAGGACATTTAGGCTCTTCCTTCTGGCCACATGACCTCTACAGCCAGCCCAGTAACTGTTGGGTCTCATTGCTTCCAACTTCTCGACACTCCCAGGAGCCGAGCTTCCAGCCATCCCTTCTGCACTGTAGGATGCCCTGTTCTACACTGTTCCTTGTCAGAGCTGATCTCCTTTAAGACCAAGCTCGGTGCAAATTTTTTTATGCAAGTTTCCTCAACCTCAGAGCTTTCCGGAGATGACCATCCCATCCCCAGCTACTGGAGCTGTGTCCGTTGGTGCCTCCTGTTACAGCAGCGGCACCTGCAGTCCTGCTCTCAATGTGTGGCCTTAATCCTGGCTAAGGGCTCAGACACTGGATGCCCTCCTAGATTTGTATGTTGCTCAGTAAATATTTGCTGAGAGCAGACCTTTTCTTTACTTGTGCCACAAGTAAAGGTCACCTGGGATGTATGCAGAGGCAAAAGCCACGCAGGTGTTCATCTGCAACAGAGACCTATTCCTCTTTCCTCCATGTCGGCAGCTGATGTAGGAGGAAAGGAGTTATTTTAAAATGCACTTTATTTATACTCTTTTTTCAAGAGTAAACTTGAGGAGGCTGGGCTGTCTTGCTCAGTACAAGAGTGTTTGTCTTGCCCTCAAGGTCTTGGTTTTTCTTCCCAGCATCTCTCTCTCTCTCTCTCTGTCTCTGTCTTTCTCTCTCACTTTCACCCAACGATTGTTAAAGAATCAATTTGATGGGCTTATCAAAAGAAATGTTGTTGAAATATTCTATTACCAGGAACTACCCACACAGATGCATTATATTCGGGTATGTAATGGGTGACTTTTAACATTGGCCCTCCAAGTTTAAGGACACTTTCTCCCTCCACCTTAAGTGACTTTCATGTGACCAGATCTCACAGTTCATTAATGGCAGAGTCCCGGCCACAGTGTGCCATCCTGTCTTCAAGGACATGAGTGAACGTGCTTAGAGGGCCTCAGCCAGCCAAGGTACCGCCTCAGTGGCACGTCGTAAGGACACTCACATGATGACCTGAGCAAGGGGATCACGATGGGCTTTGGGACACTGACACTCTGCGGAAGCCTGGTGTTGATGTGGGTGGGCCTTTGATGGAAGCCATTTGTCACAGAATACCTCTATCAGTTCTTTCAAGGTCCATCCGTGGCAGCGCAGGCTTAGCTTCCAGTTCTTGGCTGCTGCGTGGTTTCCTCTGATCTCGAAGTCCCTGGGGGTGAGCCATTTTCCATCCTCAGTCCTTATGCTCTTCATCTGGGCCCCTGCAAGACCAAGGAAGCTGAGCTCCCAGCCAGGAAATGCTATGGTGGGCCTCCCTCACGCTGGGCCCAGGCTGCTGTGGGTCAGGAAACGGATTCCTTTCAGACATCAGGGACCCCAGTCCAGCCCAGAAGGCAAGGACAGAGGGGGACCCCCCTCATGTGTGTGTGTTTCTTTGACCTTCATGTGATGACAGGAATAATTACCACTGACGTTACCTTCTTAAAGTATTTTGTTCCATCAAAAGAGAAAAAAAATGAATGATCCTAAATAATGAGCAAGATTCTTTCTTCCCCTTTCTCTGCACCTCAGGATGGAACCAGCCTGGGTTTCAGAAAGTCTGATGAAGGCACAAAGCGCCTGCTGAGTTCCTGCGAACCCAGGTGGCCATGTCAAAGTTGTCACTACAGGTGCATCTGCCTCATCTTGTGCAACACCTTCTTCCTGCTAATGACAACTGATGATTTCTCAAATTTTGGAATAATGGCTATTTGATGTTAAAAGTAATTATGGAAGTGTTATGGAGGAAAACGTTAAATCACACATAGGCAGTAGAGTCACAGGGCAAACACTGATACCTGCTACCCACAGAACTGTATTGTGGGAGGGAGGATCAATTAGGAGAGATGAACATTCATGCTACATTTTAAATTATAATTGGCAAAACCTATTGTCTCTTTTTTTCCCCTCATAATAATATGGTGAGGGAAACTTTATTATTCTCATTTTGTAGAGGAGGAAGTTCAGGGTCAGAGAGACTGAGTTCCTTGATGCTGATGACACAGATGCTGTCCGCCATGGTTTGGATGTACTTAGAGTGTGTTTCCCAAGGGTTCAGGTGTTGAAGGCCTGGTCCTTACTATGGTGATGTCAAAGGTGGTGAGACCTTTAAGAGGTGGGGCTGCTAAGACGTCCTTAGGTCACTGAAGCTACTGCCTGGGAGTACTTAAGGTAGTTGCTACGGGACCCCAATAACTCTCTAGTTTTCCTATCTTGTGATGTGATCTCTTTCCCTACTAGAGACTCCCACCATGATGTCATCTTACCATTAAGCCATCACCAAGGGCCAAACACAGGAGGCTGTCAGCTCTTGGACATCAGACTTTGAAACTGTGTGCTAAATAAACCTTTTTCCTTATAAAGTATCCTGCCATGGGTATTTCATTATAGTAATGAAAAATAAACTAATAACCTGTTGGTATAGCTAAAACTTGAATGCAGGTTTATTTTAAAGTCCTGTGCTCTTCCTACTTAAAGCTGAACAAATGTTATAGGAAACAGCCCCGGGAAGGTTGGTGTTGAATTTCTCACATGTACACATTTTCCATCAAGTGTTGAAATGTTTCTCACTGCATCGGGTGCCAGATGGGCATCCTGTGGGCCTTTTTCATGAGTGAAAGGGTAGATGGCTTGGTAGGGTAATGTTTTATGAATTTTACAAGTGTGAAAATGCCACATTACTGCAGCCTACCTGGGATGTTGTGCCGTAAGGACTTAATACCGATAAGATCCTTCTATCCTGGGGCTGGGGTTGTGGCTCACCAGTAGAGCGCTTGCCTAGCACATGCAAGGCCCTGGGTTCGATCCTCAGCACCACATAAAAATAAATAAATAAAGGTATGTGTCCAACTCAACTAAAAAATAAATATTAAAAAAAAGAAACTTCTATCCTTAGAGAGGCTTACTTGCAAGTTGGACCCCCGGCTGGTATCTGGGAATATGGATCTTGGAAGCAATTCTACCATTACCCAGAACTGATGAGATGACTCACTGTGTCCAAACTGTCCAAGCAACATGGTTTATGCAGAAAACCTGTTTTCCTCCTGAGAGTCGGGATTTTGGAATGTGCTAGGCAGAGGGTGCCTATGAAATTCACCTCTGGTAAAAAATCCTGGACTCTTAGGCTCAGGCCAGTCCTAGTAGAAGACCCTTCACTTGTGTTGTCGCAGTTTGTTGATGGGGAATTAAGGGAGCACTGCGTGACTCCACCAGGAGGGTCCCCTGGAAGCCAGCCTCGGCTTCCTCTGGATTTTGCCACATGGGCCTCTTATCTTTGCTGATTTTATATCATCCCTCCACTTTAATAAATCCTGGGTGTGGGGTGATATCCTGAGTCCTAGGAGTCCTCCTGGTGGGTCCCCAGACCTGGATCTGGACCCAGAGACCCCCACACAGAGATCTACTTCCTGAACAAAAATCGAAGGTAACAAAACTCACCTTGCTTAAATTGCTTCTTATGGAGAGTCCCCTTAGCCTCACCACAGGTCACAGGAAGTTTAGGAAGGTTGAAATTCACATTTTTTTCTCTGGGAATTCTTGGTCCTGCAAAGAAGTAGTAGATGTTGTTGTTGTTGTTTTTAACTCCATCTTCCTCTAAAATTGTGCACTCTGTCTCCCCATCTATCTTGAGATCCCTCTTTTATAACTCAAAATGTATTGGATTTCAAGGTTTTTCTTTTATGGCCGATTAGATGCCCATCGATAATGTCACCCTCCACTCCCACCTTCTGAATTCCTAACATGAAGCCTCGTGAGGCAAAAGCTGAGCTCCCAGACTTGTGGGGCCACAACTCCTACCGCACAATGACTTTCCTCCTGGTGTTTTGAAGAAGTATTTCTAATCATGTTATGACTTTGAGGTTCTGCATGTGGAAAAAAATAACTAAATTTTAGTCTAGTCTCCCCATTCAAGGCTTTGACTGGGGGAACAGGGCAGGGCAGCACAGGGCACCTAATGGGGTAGCTTCTCTCTGTTTCTTTGTCTCTCTCTCTCTCTCTCTCTCTCTCTCTCTCTCTCTCTGTGCTCTCTGAGTTGCTTCACTTATCCTCCACTGAGCTTCCTCAATGGCTCAGGGTGGGGGCTCGAGAAGAAACTTCAAATGGCTCAGGGACCCCTGCAGTCCCCACCTGGGGTCACTGAGGTTTGATTCCACGGACATCAGTATTGAAGGTCTTAAAATGACCTTCTGCCTTTCCAGCCAAGATCCGGGAGATCCATCGAGCACACAGCCAGGACTTCTCTCTGGGACGGGGACAGTGAGCTGTCTATGGCTTTTCCTGAGCCATTTCAGAGATACAGACTATCAGAGCTGGGGGAGCCCCAGCAGGGAACTTGGTCTAATTTACCAAACACCCTTCCCCACATCTTTAAAGATGAGGAAACGGAGCCCAAAGTGGCAAACGACAGGCTAAAGCCACGCAGTCCAGGAAGTCTGGGGGTTAGAACGTGGGTTTGGTGTTACTTCTGTGCCATCTACAGCTTTCTACCTGGCCAGAGAAGGGTCTGCCAAGTATCATGACAATCACAAAGTTTATATTTTTTTCTTTATATTTCTCTCCTCAAAAGCTGTGGGCACAGTGAAAGGAGGTGCAGGACAGGGTGGCCTGGGGCCTCTCAGATCAATTGACTAGTCAATAGAATGGGAGTTCACGTTGATCTGCCGTGTGGTTGAAACTGACCACTGCCAACGAAGATCCTAATGTTCGGAATGGGCTCCATAAACCAATGATGGAAACTGATTTATCACTCAGAATGCAGACTGTAGAACAGGAATTTAGGTGTTTAATTATTAAAAGTCTATTGATCGCATCTTTTTACCTCTTTTTCTCCCTCTTTTCAAGGGTCTAACGTTGACTCTTTTTCTCCCTGAGAAAGTTGAGAAGCAGCACGATTATCTCTTGTTTACAACATTGCATTGCAAATAACCATGTTTTTCAAAAACACCATTTAAATGTAATTTTACAGGAGCTTGTTTAGAACTTAAAGAAAAATACAAATGCCAAGATCAAAAGTCAGGCGTTTTTTCTGTAAAGGTAGTAAATATTTAAGGTTTTGTGTCCATGATCTCCAGTGCAACTCCTTGACTCTGGAGTTGTATCAGGAAAACATCCAAAGACAATATATAAATGAAAGGATGTGGATTTGTTTAAATAAACCTTAAAACAAACATTTGGAGAACGGAATTTGCCCTGTGGGCCATAGTTTGCTGACCCCTGACCTACACTTAGTTCTAAAAGTAATGCTGCAAGACATAGTGGCGCCCGGTGCTTGGGAGACTGAGGCAGGTGGATTGTGAGTTCAAAGCCAGCCTCAGCAATTTAACAAGGTCCTAAGCAACTTAGAGAGATTCTGTCTCAAAAAAGTATGTACAAACACACATATATATATGTATGGATTAGGGATGTGGCTCAGTGGTTAAGTGCCCCTGGGTTCAATTCCTGGTATCATTACAATAAGAATAAAAGTAATACTTACCTGAGATTCACCTTACATTTCTTTATTAGTATCCACAATCCATCCCAAACACATCTGAAACACTGATTTATGTTGTTTCCCGAGCAACAGGGTGAGAACAATATGAAGAAAACTTTTGTCTCTACTAACTCCTTAAAACAAATCTGTTAAACAGCTACTACAACTATTCTCACTTTAAAGGTGAGGAAACTGATGCTCAGAGATTTTTAAAAAACAAATTAAGGGCTGGGGCTGTAGCTCAGTGGCAGAGCACTTGCCTAGCATGTGCGAGGTACTGGGTTCCATCCTTAGCACCATATACAAATAAAATAAAGGCATTCTACAACTACAAAAAGAAAAACTTTATAAAAAAAACAAACAAATTAAAGAAAAGTAGTGAAAATTTCCTTTGGGAAAGAGAAAAAAACGGCAATTCAAGGTCTTGGGACAGACCTCATGGCAGACTTCATCAATCACACGCCCAAACTTAAACTTGAAAGATTTTTCTACTGAAAATACTGGAGAAAATGGCTAAGGACTTCAAAACTAAGCTAGTGAAAGTTATCAAGGGGGGGAATTTGTAGAAATTAAGGCTCAAAGTCTAAGAGTTATAGAGCTAAAGACAGCACAAAAAATTGACTTAAAAGATATCTAAGAAAAATGTAGAATCTGATTTTATGTGTTGACTGGATGTGCAGAAAAAAAAAAAGAAAGATTGAGTCACTCCATGTGATAATTTAAGACTGTATCATTCTGTTGTTTGTGGCTGTTAAAGTCAGGGACATGGAGTGCCCGCTCACACTTCTCAAAGCCTGTGCCTGTGATTCCGTGCTCATGGCTGTCATTGTGGGGTATTGATTTGGCAGTATAGATCCTAGGAGAAAACCTCCTCCATGTACACAATCATACATGTGCTTTCCTTTAAGCTGACTGTGACCAGATTAGGCTGGGGAGAGGTCTTTCCTTTAATCTAGTACAAAGAACCCTCAGGGTGGATGTTATTTTATTTTCTGAACCTTTGCCGTAAGAGTTACTCAGAGGTTTTTGCTTTTATGTTTTTAAACCTCATCAAGATAAAAATGGCCCCAGATGACATTGATTGATGATTCACATCCCAAAATCAAGTTTGTCCTACCTCACAAGACATCACCCTTAGAAAGTTAATTAAGATAATACAGAGATACATGCAGTGAGGAATTACTAACCTTGCATGAAAGAACAATCAACTTGGCTATTATACTCAAAGTTTTAAGAAGAACAAACAAAATGGGAAATTGGAGTCCTCAAGAAGGTAGATGAACCTTTTTTTTTTTTCACACTCCTTGATTGTGCCTCAGAACAAATTGCTCTAATTTGATCAGTTTCAAAGAATATGATTGGGGTGTGATAGTTCCTGGTGGCCAGGGTGAAAGGTCATTGACACAGGTGTGGTTCTCTGTGGGACTCTCTCCCTGTCACTCATGGTGCTGAAGGGACTCAGGCCAACTCTCTCTCTTTCTCCACTCCTGGTTCCATGAGATGACACCTGTTCTATCTGCTCTCTCCTTTCCCATCAGGTGGCCAAACTGGAGCGCCAGCCTTGGCTGCAACTGGATCTTTCCAGCAACAGCCATTACTTTCTCTTAGTCTCTCTTTGTTTAAATCCTCCTAGGGCTAGTGGGTTAGCTAATCTCTCCTTTCAATCAAAACCTGCGAGGGCAAACAACTTCAGGGCGGAGAGACAAAAGATCATTGTGCTCCCTCTTAAGTTCATGGCTTAGAGAAATTTGGACTGAAGACCAGATCATATTTGATAAAGTGAACTTGGCTTTACAATGGCTTGCCCTATCTTACAGTCAGGAAGTAAAACACCCGGACAGAGCAGGATTTAACTGTGCTTGTGTGTACTAGTCTTAGTAACCACTTTACTACTACTACTACTGTTACTAGTATTAAAACTCTATATCAACTTTCAAAAATAACAATGTGGTCAGAAAAAAGTGAGTCATTAAAAATAATTTTGAGCAAAAGAGGTTAGGATGTTTAGGTGACTCGGGTTTTCTCCGAGTTCCAGCAGATGTCTCAGGATCCAGGAATGGTGTGATGGGATCCTAAATCCTCAAACAGAGTGCTGGTCTAGCCCTGCTCACAGAACACGATAGGAAAGGGGGAGCCTGGTTCTGCCAGCATCAGACTGCCCCACCCCCAGGCCTTATGAAAGAGCCTACATTTTTTTTTTTTTTTTTGAGACAGAGAATCGTCAGACATCTCCTTCAAGCCAAGTGAGAAGTCTTTAAGACATCACTGTGTCTGGCCATGGGGATGTGAGGGACGTAGACACGATCAGACTCACTCCTGCTCTAAGTGTGAAAGTTATGAGGAAAGTGGTGGCAGAGGACTGTGCTGAGGGCCTACAAAGGAACAGAGAAGAACCATGATTGCCAGGGCCTCCTGGGAGCAGGACTGGAGCATTTTTGAGAAGTACTCTGCCCAAAGTAACTGCAGAAGGGGGTGGACCTTCTAGAAGGACCATTCGACACCTCAATTTCAAAGCAAGTTTGTCACTATTAAGAATGGACAGGCAGTGAAGATACTGCTTTTGCTCTACTAGTGAGAAATTTATGGCCATATATGTATTTATATTTATACATATACGTATGTTTCTGTATGTACATATTCCATGTATACATTTATATACGTATCCAGAGAAGGTTGATTTTAGACTGGCTGAATCACAATGGGGCAACCTAGGAGACAGGCAGATAAATGTCTTCTCTGCTTGCTTCATCATCCCTTTGCCACAGCTTTCTCCTGGCTGAAAGAGAAACTCAGCAGAGTTCTAGAAGGATCAGCAAATTTCCCAGGGAGAAAGGGGGCTTTCTACATGGTAGGGTGGAACCTCTACAGGTGGGATGCAAAGAAGATCTGCAGGTGGACTCCAGGAAGATGAGGTGCTGTTCCTACCCTTCCAGGCAGCAATGGTGAGGGGCCATGGCAGACACTCCACAGGGGCCGGCTGTTCTCCCTGCAGGACAGGCAGCTGTCCAAGGTGCTCGCCGGGTTGGGTGGGAGATTCTCAAGGGAAGCCACGTATGAACGCGATGAGCCTGGGAGGGCAGCCAGTCTGATTCATGTTATTAGGAGTAAACTGAGGCAGAAGTGGCGAAGGGGCAGGCCCAAGTCTGCAGGATTACCACAGGGCGTCAGGGAAGTGGGAGTGGACACATCTCCTGTGAGTTACAGGTGTGTGTGTGTGTGTGTGTGTGTGTGTGAGCTATTTTGAGCCTTAGAAGTTATCAGATCAGCAGAGGCCACAGTGAGTGGCCGGGGACCTGGGGAGGAGTGGCAGACTCATCACTCACGTTTTGTTTGTAGTGTATTATCTTTCCTTCCCTGACCCATTTTGAAAATTGACAGTATCTTATATATTTCTTAACAGTCAGCACATCTACATAAAGCAATTAGGGAAACAGGCTTGTTACTAACGAACAAAATAAAGCACGAGAATTTAATGTTTGTTGAAAATGTTTCTTTTCCTTTCTTACCTTTTGGCCAACCTCTTTTCCTTTGAAGGGCATTATTCTGAATTGAGTGGAATCTATGTCTGCCTTTCTTTATTTCTGAGAAAAAAGGAAAAATATAAAACAGTTGCATTGCATAACAGTGGTTTTCAGATTTCTACTTTACTGTAACTTTTCAAGAGTCTGATACATAATGAAAGCTATGTAGTCCATAGCCTTGCAAATTCCAAGCCTTTAATAGTAACCTGGGTTCACCTGAGATTCCATTGTATTTACTCTGACATTGATCCAAATTCATTTACTCCCATGTCAATAAAAAATTAACATATTATACCAAAGAACATTGTGATAATAATAATGATATCTAACACTTAAGTGCTTATTATATTCTAGATAGTAATACAAGATACACACACATACACACACACACACACACACACACACACCAGGATTGAACCTAGGGGCACTTAACCAATGAGCCACATCCCAGCACCTTTAATTTTTTGAGACAGGGTCTCACTAAGTTGCTTAGGATCTTGCTAAGTTGCTGACACTGGCTTTGAACTTGGGATCCTCCTGCCTCAGCCTCCTGAGCCACTGGGATTTCAGGTGTGTACCACCAATACATACATATGCTAGTAAATTTAGGAGAGAAATTTTTTTAAACCCCATTACCAATGAAGAATCTGAAGCATACAAAAATTTAAAAAACGAAGTGAAACATTGTAGATTTCCTTTGGTTGAGAGGCAGAAATCAATGGTAGCAACATAAGAATTTGGATTATTCAGGGAGAAGGGAGGATCAGCTACAAGGATGAGACACTAACATCTTAGCCCTGGTCAAGAATTTGGGCTGAAAAGAAAATGAAAGTCACCAAAGACCTTATTTAAATAGTTTTGAACAGATAATAGCAAAAGGACACTGCCCTAGGGGAATTGTAGAGATAAATGTTAAAATCTTAGAAAGCCTAAAGGTTAAAGACAGAAAAAAGTGGTTCACTGAAACCCTATCTCAGGGAAAGATGTTCTCAGATTCAGTAGTTAGTGGGTGTGGGTGGAGAGCAGTGAGGTGGTGTGTGCAGGCACGGCTCACCATGCCAAGATACCCTCTTTCTCTCCCCTGGTTCAGCTGTGAACACCTTAGGCAAACACAGACTCTTTTTCTATCTCTCTGTGTCTTTCTCTGGTACTGCTATATTCACCTTTCATCAAAATATGTTGAGGTCAAACAGATTAAAGGCATAAAGTTGTCTGGTTCAGTTGACCCAAGCTCTCCTCATTAAGAGATCTTGGGCTTAAGACTTCCAATCCCATAGAGCTCCTGGACTTTCCTTTAGAGTCGTTCTTTTTAAGTTTTTTTTTTTCTCAAATTTAATTAAGCATACAGGAAATGTGGCTGTTCTTAGATTTCCTGTCCAATTGCCATTGATTGGCACCCTACACTTGCTATAGAATTGAGCTAAGAAATCCCCTCTCCTCAAGGAAAGTGAGAAGGCTTTGCCTTCAAGGTAATTGGCCTGCATCTCTAGGAATTTGGAGGAGCAGAAATATTTACAGCCTTGACCGTGGGACAAGTACAAGGGAGACTCTGCTAGGAGCCAGCCACAGGCCCACTGGAGCTTTGAGGAAGGACAATTTTCATGGGCTTCCCCGGGGAAAGTAGGAGTTCAGTTAGTTCTTCTTGAAAGATACTCTGTGCAGAAAGATCACTAGGATGGATCACGTGGACGGTGGCCCAGCAGGAGTGTGGATCTCCACAGCCGGTTAGTTTCTGCATTAAGGGAACTTGAGTTGAGAGATTTACTCTATATTGGGTCTCTAAAGAACTAAAAAAAATAATGTGGCTCATTCATTCACCATATCTGGGAGACATCAAGGATCTACCAAAAAGACGGCCATGGGAACCAGTAGAAGCTCAAAGGAAAAATGTCTCAGACCTGGGTAAGTACACATTTGGATATGACAAACATGATAAGATAGGGATGGAGAGGAAAATGATAGAGATGCTAGAAGTAATGGAAAGAAAAAAAATATATCCAAAGATGCTTTAACTCTAGAGGAAAAAAAGAAGCCCTGACACCACTACCACATAAGTACACTAGAAGTATTTTATAGAAACAAAACATTGTAGCCTGTGCAGCAAACAATGGAACATCCTATGTCTTCTTCCTCCAACACCCAAGTACAATACGGTGTGTGCTCTGAGTTTGGTTTGAATAGCTGTGTTTCCCAGGCTTAGACCCAACATGGTTCCAGGGCAGTAGCTTTTGATTTGAGTTCCCACCGTCTATTTCTCCTTGTTCCACCAGGGGCTGGATCAATTAGTTACAATACCCCCTTCTAACACTTTGCCCTCTCCTCCCACTTCCCAATCAGGGATGGCTCATCTCTGGCTTGTAATTCTGTGCTGCACCCCAGATTCCAGCTCTTGCTCATGCCAAAGGGTCTCAATGTGGAGAAGGCTTGGTTTGAACCAATGCTTTCCTCATTTGGAGGAACTGGTGACTTTGAATGCAAACGTGGAGGGCAAGTAGGCAGGCTGCTACTTGTCACCCACAATCATCCTCTCTTTCTTCTATAAGAAGAGAGTTATGGCTGCCCTCATGGATGCTGGGGAGAGATTATACTTCTCAGCCTCACTTGCAGCAAACTCTGGCCAAGTGACCAAGTTTTGGCTCATGGGATTTGAGTAGAAGACTTCTTTCCAAGAAACCAATGATGGTTGTTCTGTTCATTTCTCCCATTCCCACTGGTTGAGAGAGAGCAACCACAAGGTCAGTCTTGTTGGACCCAGAAATGGTAACCACATGTCAAGGAAGGCAGCTTCTTCCTACCACCCCTGAACGGTTAAATGAAAGAGATATACGTTGTTTGGTTTAAGCCTGCATTTGGGGATATCCTTGTTACAATGACTTAGCCTGTATTCTTAATAAACCAAGAGTTAATCAGTTATCGTGGTTCATAGGAGATTTAGGGGCTGCAGCAAAGGTGAGATCTGGAAGAAAGATCAGGACGACAGCAAGCTCAAGGAGTGAAGGCTAACATTTCTCCTTACCTTTTTGGAGATGGTTTACTTTATGAAGTCTTTTTTTCCCTTCAACAGAAAAGAGAGAAAACGATCCTTTAGAGCTATAAACAAAGGTTTACAAGCTTTATATATCAGTAGCTTTCAAGTATTCTATTTTTAAACCTTCATTCCACTATGCTTTTGTGAGGCTAAATCCCCATCTCGAAGAAACACACCACCTTGGTTATTGTCACATAGAAAAAATTAACACAAAAACCTATATTTGCATTGTCAATGATTTACTATTTCTTAAAAAGAATATTTACATGAGGTTTTTAACAAATTTTTTTTAGTTGTCAATGGAACTTTATTTTATTTATTGATATGTGGTGCTGAGAATTGAAACCAGTGCCTCACACATGCCAGGCAAGCACTCTGCCACTGAGCCACAATCCCACCAGTACATGAGGTTTTAACACTCACAGTAAATAAAAATTTTTAGAATTGCTCAATACCAGGCAGAAGGTGACAACAGAAGGGGAATGTCCAACAGGTGAAAACAAGATTTCAGACAATGTCGGCACACTTGCTGGAATTTAGAGGAATACCTTGAAAATCCAAAGTTATATTTCCTGTTTACAACATGCAGAAATTAAGAAATAAACCCATCAGAACAATGAAGTCAAACTGTAGGAGGAAAACAAAGGAGATGGGACAATTCAGAAATTAAAAAGGACATAGATTATAGAATTCAGAAAAGGAAACAAGGATGTTTGAGAACGATTGAGAAAAATCAGTAGAGAGAAAAGAGTCACTGGGAAACCATGAACAGATCATCGGAGTTTCTGAAGGAAAAAAAAAAAAGAAGGAATACTTGAAGATAAGTCAAGAAAAAGGTACATGAAGTTCTAGTATCACATAGAACACATGTATTACCAGTACACATGTTTTCAGCCTGTAGCAAAGACGTGCACTCAAGACCGTCAACCCTGAGACATATTCCAGAAAATTTACCACACCTCAAAGTTACAGGAAGGATTGAATGAGCAGCCTAGGCAAAAAGATCAAGAGAGGGAATCTTATCAGCTACAGAATTTTCCACAGTAACATTTAATGTGGACAAAAATCTACAAGATATTTCTATAAATAATTAGCAAATTGTTTTTCAGGTATAATTAACACACATAATTAATTTCAAACAAGAGAATCCTGGGGGATGTTGTTCCTTTGATCCCTTTTTGAGAAAATAACCTAAATCACTAAACCAAAGCAGTACTGGAAAAATGTTGGCAAAAGGACTAAAATATAAGGAGTGGGGGTGGATTAGAGGGAAATATGGGTGGTAGAGCAAGTTTTTTATTTTATCACTAGGAGTCAAAGGGTATTATTTGGACAAACCCAGGAGTAATTGTGAAGCATTTTTTAACAGCTGAAAGGCAATAATAATGGTCTAAAACTGAGTGGGTGAGGAGACTGAACATATTCTGATTTTACAAATCTGGATGGGAAACTAATGGGTACCGTCTAAAAGAGAAGATCAAGGGTATCATAAAAAGACAAATCTAAGAGTGATGACAAGAGCAGAAACCTAATCCTTAAATATCCAGTGTCTTTGCTCCCACCAGTGCACACTAGGAAATGGGCGGGGCCAGAATCCAGTCACCAGAGTAACTGTAAGGAATGTAGTGAGGTATAGTCTTAGCTCAGTGGCCAGGTGTCCAGCGGAACAAAAAGGCCAACCTTCCTAGGTATCTGAAGTACACACCCACACCCACACAAAATGCAAAGAGACAGAATGTAGAGTGTTGACATTTAAAAAACCCCAAACCCTAGAATTCGTAGTAGAAATCAATGGGACCAAACAAGATCAAGCATCTTGATGTCCATAAAAGTAAATGTGCTTGACTCATTTGAAAAAGAAAATTTTAGATCCAATTACAAAGTTAAACCCAACTTTTCACTACATACAAGAGACTAACTTAAACATATATTTAAAAACAATGAAAATAAATATGCATTAGCATATCTCTACAAGAAATCAGGGCTCATCACTGAATCTCAAAGAAAGTGTAATTCAGGCCAAAAAGTGTTCAGCAAGGAGAAATCATAGGAGACTCAATAAGAAGCAGAAATATACTATTAGAAGACTTTTTTTCTTTAGCTCATAAGAGATCACTGGACAAGACAGAGGAGGCTATGAAAGACCCAAGTAACACATTTAACAAGGCAGACGTGGTCCCTGTGTAATGAACTCCATAGCCAGAAAACAGAGCACATGCCCTTTCTTCCCCTTCTCTTCAATGTCTCCTGAGTCAAGGAGAAAATACAAATGCGAATTGTGGGACGTCTAGCCAATAACAACATTGAAGACACCACTTACAGGAACCTATAGAAGACTGATAACAGAATGCCCGCAGAAAAATATCAGCCTTAAATAATTAATCGGTGATAAAAATGACAGCAATTGAATTAAAACACCTGCCTCAGAAAGGTTAAAAAAATATAAAACATTCCAGATGATATAATCATAGGCTCAGAAACCCCCAAAGAAGCAATTAATAATATAATAAGAAAAATCAGAAAATTTCAGATTATGGAAATGAATAGCTTTCATTTATATAGGAGTAATGAGTGATCAGTGATCAGGCGCACTGGGAGGAAAGACAGCAATTACAACAGCAGCAGCAACAACGGACAAAACAGAAGGCCTGCATCCCCCATAGGAGAGAAAGCTGAAGCGCTACTGAAGGCAGGGAGGGTGGGCGATGGGCCACCACGCTGTGTTCTTGGTGGGGAATCTCAGCACCACAACACGCTGACCACCCGTGAGAGCTACGGGACCCTGACAGGCCACTTCCTGCAGCTCTACTCCATCTCTCCAGCTGGTGACCTCCCATGCCATTCTGTAAAGGACCATGTGGAGTCCTGTCTTAGGCTTTGCAATGAATGTTTTCCTGCCTCAGCTGCCTGGCTCAGTCCCTCGCCTCCTTAAGATCTTATACACGGTCTGTTAATGAGGTTCTCCTTGTCCACCATTCCTAAAATGAAATGTTTTTATCACTCTACACCTGCATTACTCTTTGTTCCTTTATATATTATTTACATACTATTGTATGCTATATAATAATATAATCTATTATTATTTATATGTTATTCCTTTGTTCCATATAAAATATTACACATTGGGCTAGGGGTATAGCTCAGTGGTAGAGGGCCTGCCTAACATGCCAGAGGCTCTTGGTTTGATCCCCAGAACTGCAAAAACATAAAATAAAAATAAAATATGATATATTTATTTGTGTATTTTCTACATACCCACAGTAGGATGTAAGGTTGATGAGATTTTGTTCATTTCTTTATCTCTGTTGTGCAGCTTGGAAATATCTGTTGAACATATAAATGAAGGATGTGAGAAGGAAACAATAGTGAGACCACTTGAGTTCATGAGCAGAAAGACTCAATATTTTAGACATGTCAGTTCTCCATTCTATGCAATTTTGATAAAAATAAAACAGGGTTTTAAAGGGTTGGCAAAATGACTAAAATTCATGAAGAAAGGTGGCACATGCCTGTAATACCAGTGGCTCTGGAGGCTGAGACAGGAGGATTGAGAGTTCAAAGCCAACCTCAGCAACTTAGCAAGGCACTAAGCAACTCAGTGAAACCCTGTCTCTAAATAAAATACAAAAATGGGGTGGGGATGTGGCTCAGCAGTTAAACGACCCATAACAACAACAACAAAAATCATGATGAAGGGAAAAATGGACATAAGAGCCTAAATAATTTTGAGAAAGAAAACCATTGGGAGAATATTAAGATATTATGCAATTAGAGTACTTTAATAGAGTATGATATGTACTAATACAGAATAGAGAGAGCAATGGATCAGTCTAGAAAGCCCAGAAACAAATCTGTCTGTCTATCCACCTACCTGTCTCTGTGTGTATATATACTACCACTGAGCTACAACCCCAGCCCAGCCATGTGTGTGTGTGTGTGTGTGTGTGTGTGGCTTGATGCAGGCCATGTGTGATATTGTAATATCTTTGAATAAACTGGGACAATTGGTTGCCATACTGGGAAAAAAATTAGACCCCCACCTAACGTCACACTGAAAAGAAATCAACTCCAAAGGGACTAAATATGTAAGTGAGAAAATAAATAAGGATGTCGCAGTCTAGTATTCTCAAAAGCAGATCTTATTCAGTAAGCTTACTCTTGAAGCAATCCCAAGGAGCAGGAGTGAGGAACTAGGAAGTGGGAAAGGGAAGAAGGAAAGCCAATTGGTGTCCAACTCGTCCTCCGTCTTACTGGGAACCCTCTGAAGAACTGTAATCGTGGCTGTCAGAGGAGCTGGGGAAGCGGCTCAATGGTACAGCGTTTGCCCAGCATGCAAGAAGAAGAGCGAAGAGTGGCCTCCACACTGTCCGTCTTGGATCTGACTGTATTGGTCAAGATGCCCAGCAAAGTAGGAGAGCAGAAAAGCTCTGGGATGCTCCAGGATTAGGCCATGATTCCTTAAACAAGACTGAAAAGCATGATCATACAGGATAATGTAGACAGGTAACACAAAGAAAGTATCTTTCGTACATCAAAAGCACGATCAATCAGGGGAAAGAGATAAAAGGGAGATGGAAATAGGCTGGGGGAGTTTCTAAGAAAACATCTCTCTGAAGAGGAGATTCTTGAGCTGAAACATGAATAAGGAGCCTTCTGCCCCAGGGAAGGCTTTGAGGCAGAAAATTGCTTGGTGTATTCAAGGACGGCCAGAGTAGTAACTGAGGTGGGGAGTGTGACAGAGATAAGATTTATAAGGTGATCGGGGGCAGCTTATGTAGAGCTTTGAAGGAATAGAAAGACATTTAGACTTTTTCTCTTGATTCAACTGGAAACCATTGAAAGAATATAAGCAGTTGGGTGGCAGGCTGTTGAGTAGAGAATGAATTATAAATGGGCAAGAAGGGAAGTGGGGTGACTGGTGGGGAGGGCTCTGGTTTACCCCATGCAAGATAATAGGACTTAAACTGGGGGAGGGGCAGGGGAGATAAAGAGTGAAGAAATGTGAAATATACTTTTGAAACTTGATGGATTGAATGTGGAGGGTTAGGAAAAGGCGGAAATCAGTACGTGCCCTACATTTTTTTGGCTCAAGCAACTGAAGATATATACCACTTACTGAGATGAGGGTGACTGGTGTGGGTGATAGGGTTGCAAGTACAAACCATGAAGTCTGTTTAGCACATGAAATTTGAGAGAGACACCTATTAAAATCCAAGTGGCTATTTGGAGTAGGAAGTTGAGTTTATGATTTGGCAGTTCAAAAGAAAGAGGAGGAGATATATAATTGGTAGTCATTAACACGAAATTTAAAGAACAGCATGGTTAGAATGGAGAGAGTACTGTAGAGATGGGAAGGGACCCAGGTCTTTCCATCATGTAGACGTCAGCAAGTTAAGAAGGCCCACCACCGGTACTACCATTCAACACCATCATCAACACAGCCAGCAAGTGACTGGGGAGGCACTATTAGACAGTAAGAGATCGTGGGTCCCAGAAGACAAAAGAAGAGATTGCATTTTAATCCACATGACTTGATGGGGCTGTGTTCTCCCCGTCACCCACCTGATCATGGTGGTGCCAAGGCCTGCTGGGTGCTAGAAGGCAAAAGGCAGCCAACAACCCCAACCTTTAAGAACATGATCGGGTGACCACCGCCGGCCACCCTCAGATAAGCCACACCAGCTCCATCCTCTAGTCTGGAGAACTAGCTTTCTGAGGTCCCAGGCTCCTGGGAAGGGGTCTCTCTCCCCTTCCACTATTACCTTCACACCTGCTGCCTTCCTTCTGCCTCACCTGTCACTCATCTATGGCCATTTGTACATTTGTCCTCGGAAGAAGCCCACTGAGAATATGTAGTCTAGAAGCAGCCTCACCCCACAATGAGGTCTGCAGAGAACCCACATTAGATTGCAGCATATCTGTGACAGAGAGCATAGATGATGATGTAGAAATAGATAACACTAGAGAAATAGACAATGATGGTGAAAAATCACCACTCTTCTCACGGGTAGTTTCCTGACATTTCTGATACATCTTTTCATATGTTTGTTTGTTTTAACTGTGTATTTTGTACAATCATATATTTGGATTAAACTTTCACACACTGGTAGAATTAACTTATTCATGAAAATATATCATTCGATAACTATTTATTGAGCCCTTGTAGCTAATTAACCCCAGGAGCTGAGGATAAAGTTGTGAATAACATAAAGTCCTTGCTACATGGAGTTTACATTCTGGTGGGGAGACAAATAATGAAAAATAAATACATAAGATGACAGAGTACTATAATGAAAAGTAAATCAGAATGAAGGGATCAGAGAGCGGTGGATGGGGCTGTGTGTGTGTGTGTGTGTGTGTGCGCGCGCACGTGCACTAATTTAATATAGAGGACTTGGGACGAATCTCTAGTAAGTTAACTTTTGAGCAGATATTTGAAGGAAGTTAGAGTCATTCATAGATTCTGTCCTTCATTGGTCAAGAAGCCCAGATCATTCCCTTAGGAAAACCATTGTAGGCTCTGAGTTGACTACCTTATCTGTGGAAGTGAGGGTCACTGTGACTTTCCTGCCATGTCCTGCAGGCTGAGCTATGGTGACTTCATCTGTCACCAATGAGATGCTAACCAGTCTTCAGTGTGACCATAAACTTGAGTAAAGGTTTTTGAAGTCTTGGCCTCTCTGCTGAAGCCTTGCACACTTGTTTGGGGGGTGCCCTGGTCCTCCCAAGTTGGCTCTTCCTTCATTTTCACCAAATTATCTATCTTATTCCAGTAACAGCGGGCAATTACAAAGACCATTTTGTATATCCTCACCCAAAACAGGTACCTTGAAGGGAAACTGAGATTCGATAATCTTTGATACAGATGTGTTCTGATTTGCCTGGAAAGAACACTTGAGGAAGGGCCAAGGATGAGAAGTGGGTAAGTAGGTCAATAAAAAGGGGGCTGTGGTGAGGCCCACAGGACGAGGTCTTGTAAGTGGAAACTGCATTTTGAAAAAAGAAAGAGTGTAGAAAGCATTTTAATGATGCCAGGGATGATTATTAGCCTATAAATACAAAATAATGATTATAAAATATAATATGATAAAGTATTAAAAAATAATAACCATCCTCCCACTTAAATATTGAAATAGTTGTTCACATTTTGTATTTAGGTGAAGACAAGAAAGGAAAGGTAAAAATAAAAAAAATAAGAGGTCTCAGCTGGCTCAGATTGAAGCAACAAGAATTATAGGCCATAGTAGAAAAATCTGTATACATCCTTATTTCCTATTTTTAGGTGAAATTCTTTTCAGGCCTTTCTCTATTTCTGCCAATAAAATCAAGCTCCACATATTTGCTTTTCTTATAAGACTAACAAGTTTCCAGAGATTGGGTTTTTAAATCCATGTAACAAAGAAAAACAATTCCAGAAAGAGATGAAAGAAAATTCTCTCAACACAGTTGTAGAAGGAGAGAGAATATCTTCACCACAAAACTAATAGATATGATCTGAAGGGTTAAAGTGAGAAGTTTTGTAAGAGTCTTATTCTCTGGTAAAATATAGGAACACGTGTCTATTTATAATTATTATCAATTCATTCTGTCCTCTGTTAATATAAATTTATCATTGGAAGAGTTGTAAGAGTAGAGTGTTTCTAGTGATGTTCTTCCAAGTTAGGATTATTGACATTTCTGATGAAACCAATTTCCAAAGGAGGCTGTAGTTCTGATTCATCATGCTACTTGATAGTTTAGAACCATAATATTTTAAGTTACATCTGGATCCTGAAACTGCATAAATGTTGTAAGATTTTATATCAAGTCAGCGACTTTCTGATTCCCTCACGTGTAAATAAGTAATAAAATGACTATGGATTTTCTATTTAAATTAAGATTTTGAGAGTCTTGTCTCATTTAAATTCATTGGGTTATTATATAGATGGAAAAACTATGTTCATGGTAACACATATTTATATAATATATACAACTCTTTTAAAAGTGCAGGAGCTATTTTAAGAAACTTCTTATTGGAAGAATATTAAGTAAAAATGAATAAATGGGTAAAAGTCTGTATTATTCCCAAATTAACCTGCATTTATGAGGTCAATGCATTTCTAATTAGAGATTCTGTTGGATTTGTGAAGGGGTAGGGGGGGAAATCTTGAAGTTATTCTAAAACTTATCCCCCCAGTAAGTCATCAGGATGATTCTGACTTCCGCTTTCTCTTTTGTAGTGCCTTCAGTCATAAAAGAAAAACTAATATAGGAATAGGGAAAGGCACTGTGTGATCTAAGTGGCAATTTAGATCACAATGCAATAGTGTAGGGAGTATTTTTAAAATTCCCAGCTCACATGTACACAAAGAGATGCACAGATCCCATGTGGATTATAGATAAGACTAAAAATGATCAAGTGTTTGACAAATATAGAACAATATTTTTGAAATTTTGATGTAGAAATGGCTATTGTAAATATTATATGAAACTCAGAAACCAGTGAAAAAAAGGATGACAAATTTGACTACCAAATTCTTAAACTCCTCTAGCATAAAAGATTCCATTAACAAACCTACAAGAAAAACAACCACTTGTACAAACTATTAGCAATACACATGACAAAGATTTAGTGTCTATGACATAGGAGGGTATCCATGGTCATTCAGCAGTGTGAGGAAGCAAACAAACAGCATCTATAGCAAAGAGATCTGGGAAGAAGAAAAACAAGTGATCAAGAGCAAATCAAGTCTTGTGAAGGAAGTCAGGTCCTAAGTCAACATGATAAAGATTTGGTCTCACTTTTTCTTCTATTTGGCACAGGGTCTTTGTTCTAGTGCCTAAGTCTTTGATCCACTTTGAGTTGAGTTTTGGGCAAGGTGAGAGATATGGGTTTAATTTCATTTTGCTACATATGGATTTCCAGTTTTCTCAGAAACATTTGTTGAAGAGGCTATCTTTTCTCCAATGTATGTTTTTGGTGCCTTTGTCTAGTGTGAGATAACTGTATTCATGTGGGTTTGTCTCTGTGTCTTCTATTCTGCATTATTGGTCTACATGTCTTTTTCGGTGCCAATAACATGTTGTTTTTGTTAATATAGCTCTGTAGTATAGTTTAAGGTCTAGTATTGTGAAGCCTTCTGCTTCGCTTTTCTTGCTAAGGATTGCTTTGGCTATTCTGGGTCTCTTATTTAATGGGATGAATTCAAACTGAAAAGATTCTTCTCAGCAAAGGCAATAATCAATAATGTGAAGAGAGAGCCTACAGAATGGGAGAAAATATTTACCCCACACACCTCAGATAGCGCATTAACCTCCAGGATATATAAAGAACTCAAAAAACACCAAAAAAAAAAAACCCCAATAAATATAAATAACCCAATCTATAAGTGGGCTAAGGAACTGAATAGGCACTTCACAGAAGAAAAATACAAATGTTTAACAAATTATGAAAAAATGTTCAACATCTCTAGCAATTAGAGAAAGGCAAATCAAAACTACTCTGATTTCATCTCATTCCAGTCAGAATGGCAATTATCAAGAATATAAGCAACATAAGTGTTGGTGAGGATGTGGGGAAAAAGGTACACTCATACATTGCTGGTGGGACTGCAAATTGGTGCAACCAATCTGGAAAGCAGTATGGAGATTCCCCAGAAAACTTGAAATGGAACCATCATTTAACCCTGTTATCCCACACCTCAGTATATACCCAAAGGACTTAAAATCAGCATACTATAATGATGCAGCCACATCAACATTTATAGCAGTTCAATTCACAATAGCTAAGCTATTGAACTAATCTAGTGCCCCCAACATCTGAATGGATAAAGAAAATGTGGTATATATACTCAATGGAATATTACTCAGCTATAAAGAAAAATGAAATGATGGTATTTTCAGGTTAATGGTTGGAGCTGGAGAATATCATGCTAAGTGAAATAAGCCAGTCCTCAAAGCCCAACAGCCAAATGTTTCCTCTGATATGAGGATGCTGACCCATAATGGTGTGTATGTGTGTGGTGGGGGAGCTAGGGAAGAATGAAGGAACTTTGGACTGGGCAGAAGGGAGTGAATGGAGGGTATAGGGGTAGTGGAATGAGACCGGCATTATTATTCCATGTGCATGTGTGATTGTACGAATGGTATGACTCTGCATTGTGTATAGCCAGAGGAATGAGAAGGTGTGCTCCATTTGTGTACGATGTGTCAAAATGCATTGTGCTGTCATGTATAACTAATCAGAACAAATTAAAAAAATAAATTAAAAAAAGAGCAATTGAAGAATTCCTGCCATACTAAAAGTGGGAAAAGTCATGTTAAAGTAGCCCTATAATATTATTTTCATAGTTCAATTAAAGATGCTAATCTGTTTATTATCTATGATATTTTAGTTTAAAAAGCAATAAAAGGAAAGAATATGTAGAATTATATTATTTAAATAAATAAAATATTTCAAAACATATTTATACATGCATAGAAATATTCTCAAATCTATACATTGATATTTACAAGAAACATTTAAAATTCAGAATAGAAACATTTAAAATTCAGAATAAAAACATGAAGATATGAACCTTTTGAAAAATACATTGTTACTTTCAAAGGCATTTTTGTCTTATGAAAGGTATAAAAATGATGATAATAAACCTTAGCATTAAAAAATAGTTCATTAGTAACATAAAAATCAAGCAAATACTTATTTGTTCTTACTTCTTTCCCCACTGCCTTTTCCCAAAGTAGAATTGTTTCCAACATCCGTGGTATCTAGAAAGTGAAGATGGGGGTCAGAGAACTGTGGTTTATAAATAAAAGTTAAAAATATATGACAATTCAGTGTGTGGAAGACTAAAGATCATACTGATGTGATGGGCTTCATTTCTCTATCTTCATTCTAAGGGAATGGACTGGTAGGGAAGATGTAAGGCCTTCCTTTAGTTCCCTGACACTTGGAGAAAGCTCTTGATTACTCTGTGTGCCTGTTTAAGGAAACAGGGATCCATGAAACAGAGATAGCAAGGGTAATCCTCAAATTTTAAGTTTTTTATGAAGATTAGATGATCTCATTGGTGAGTTAATAGAAAATCACTATATAAATCAATAACATGTTGGAAGACAGCTATTGGAACTATATATTTTTAGTTTAAGAATAGTTATGTGAGGTCTTTTTCCTAACAGGTAACAGGGCCATTTGTCCTTTTAGGCTTTCCCAAGGCTGTGGAAAAGCTATTCTACCATCTCTCAGATCTACCAGAAGAAGCACATTGTTTCCTTGGTTCTATAGGTAAGGATGGAAGCCATATAAATCGGATGCTTCAGTATTGATAATAAACAGGACACTGCTGTTTTTTACCAACGTATTTGTTTTACACGAACCACATGTAACCAGCAGAGCTCATCCTGTTAAACACGTGTATCTAACGCTCTCTTGCCTTTCTGCAGTTCCCAAAGGGTCAGTCCATGCAGATATAGAGAACAGGATTCTGGCATGGCTGGACCTGTTCCTTGTCACTGTGTACTCAGTAAGTGCTACAGAAAATGGAAACTCTTATTCTGGATTCCTGCAGCCTGGGGCCCGGGGCCCACCTCCTGTCAGTGAGCTAGAGTCTTCCCAATGTTCTCCTTGAACTTGATCACCTTGTTCACCCTGGATCCCATGATTTCTGTCTCTTTTCCTCTTCATGTGGCCCCACCGCCATTTTTCTCTCACCTTTTACAGCTTCCTCTCCTGACACAGTCCTGCCCAGCAGCTGTGGTATTTCTGAGCCACCTCCACCCTGATGCCATTGAGCAGACTTGCCTATTGGGTGAGATGCTCGGCCACTTTCCACCGTTGCTTCTTGGCCTCTTGGCACACCTTTTGGGGAACACAGGACACAGGAGCACTTCTCATTTCCAGTCTCTTGTTGCCCTGTTCCTAAATCATGATTAGTAAAGTAATTTTCATCCATGTTCCTTCCCCTGCCCAAGTTTTCTTTTCCCCTAACACTGGTGACTTCTCCCTCCCACTCCTACATCAAAGGATGGCTTTACCTTTGAAACCTCTCTTTTGTTATTCCTTAGTGCATAAAGGTGTGCATATGTGTGTGTACATATATATGTATAATATATATATGTATAAAATACACCTCTCTTTTTTAGTTGATCCAAGAATTTCTTCTTGAATGAAGAGATTAATCACTAGTGTGTTTTAGAGATAGAAAACACTGAAGGAGGAGAGTCTGGTTTTAGGGCAAAAGATGATGGGTTCAGTTTTGGGAAACTTGGAGTTTGGAGCGTGAAGGTCTTGATGTCCAAGGGAAGACTGGAGTCTTCAGAACCTTGGACAGAAGACGTTCTCAAACTCAGGCGGGAAGACTGGGCTGGCTAGAGAAACCAGGGGGTGGGTGCAACGCCTGAGGCAAGTCTCCTTATTATTCTGGGCGAGTAATCAGGGCCACCTAGATCCCCGGGGACACCTTACCCTGAAGACTCACTGCTACTGTGAACCATGCCTTGGGTCAGGTTGCTTTTGTCTCATGTTCACCCTGGATCCCATGATTTCTGTCACTCTTCCTCTTCAGGCGGCCCCACCGCCATTTTTCTCTCACCTCTTACAGCTTCCTCTCCATCGTGCCCCATGGTCCCTGCTCTTCCTGAAGGAATCATCCTCTACCCATCTCATTCCACCTGCTTTTCTGGGCTCATGTCTCTGGATCTCGTTTTGTTATTGAAGTGACCCTTTTCCATATTCACTTCCCTTTTTGTTCTCTATTTGACTCTGGCTTTGGTTCTGGCCATCTTATCTTGATATTTTAGCATTTTTATCTAGATCTGTGAACTGTTTTTGCAATGTCAATCTTTGCCTATCTATATTTCCTTCTTCTGGGTTCATTTTCATCTCACAGACACTACTTTTATCCTCATCAAATGCCAGTCCTTTGACACTGACCTATCACCCAGCCTATTCCCTTGCCAGTTGCACATGAGATCGCTATGTTGCAGGGCTTTCAATCAATCACCAACTTTTATTTCCACATTTCTGGTTAGCTCCTGAGAGGTATCTTGCAAGTCATCCCTTTTCTCCCCCAAACTCCCCAATCTGGGATCCTTGGATCCACATCCACTTAGAAGACCTTGAAACTTATTCAGTCTCTTTCCATCTGGTCACCAAGATTCCCTTTTCCACTGTTTTCTCTTAACAGTTTTCATTCAGAGTCACCTCCCTTCATCCAAGAGCCAGCTCTTCTTTCTCTCTTGGTCCTCTCAGACCTGTGGAAAACACTGAGTCTGTGCACAAGTCTGCATGCGTATGTGCGCATGTGTGTGTGTGTGTGTGTGTGTGTGTGCGCACGTGCACATGTGTTTAGGAGGAAAAGAATGGCTCCCCCCCCTCCCTGTGTAGGCAGGTAAACAAAGATAATTGATGATATCATAATTGGCTTCTCCAATCACATATGTCCCTTCTGACTCTACCACTATTCATTTGAAGACCTGTGGATCCCCAAGACACTGAAGAGAAATAAGGAAATGATCGAGTACAAGTGTGACCAGCGAACGAACTTCAGTGTGGTCACAGGGAACCACGTCTAGCATTCAGACGAGCTGAGAAAAAAATACACCCACCCCATGACTGCACTTGAGGTCCAACAGAGCTGCAGCCTCTCTTCTGTCTGGCCACACCTCATTCTCCTCTTCCTTATTTCCTGCCCAAGGTCCTTCCTCTGTTCCTTCCTGTGAGCCTCTGTCTCTGATTTTGCTGGCCTCCCATGTTGCATTGTCTCTTCTCAGTGTTGCCCTGAATCTCTATTCCCCTTTATTTCTCTATTAATCCTTTCTAGATGGATCCTTCTAGTTGTTTTGTATTTAAAATATCAGGCTCTATTCCTGTCCTAATTGTCTATCTGTGATTTTCATTTCTTACTCTCCATAGATATGTATGTATCTCAACCTATGTATACACACATGTGAAAACGTGTATATGCTAATGTGTAAATGAGTATGTGCATATACAGCACACATAGTATACATATAGACCATAGACCATATATTATAAAATATAATATATACTTTACATATTATATTTTTATTTGTTGTTGTTGGTAAATGTTTTCTTTCTTTCATCAGCTACTGACACATTTCCCTGTGAATATTACGAGTTCCTTATACTAACTTTTCAGACTCTGATCATGTAACACAGGTCTTTTTTTTTCTGCCCATTACATACAGTAGTCACTCACTGTAAGACATCACGGTTCCTATTGTTACTTGAGTTTTTGACTCTTACACATTTTGTACATCTATTCTATTGTCCCAAATGGGGATAGCAAGGGTTTACCTGTCCAAGTCTTAAGGCTTTTGTGATGATAAAAACAGATCTTGTTTGTCAAAGTACATGGAAATAATACAATATAATCCAATTCTATGGTGAAGGACATCTGTCAAAAACTATACTAAACTTTGAGAGTGATTGATCTGAAGCTTTTATTTCTGACTATAATTACACAGCAGGACCAGTTGTCTTCTTAGGCTTCTACAGTTGCAAATGACAAATGACCAGTGTGGGGCTAGAAATCTAGAGACTTTGTGTGAGTAGGCATGACAGATACCATTGCTTTGCTATTTATTTCTCCTGCGACAGCAAAATATATTTACATACATTTAGTTGACAGGACTCATGCTGTTCAATGTGCGTTTGTAATGATTTCCTGCCTCCTTCCATTTTCTAAAGTATTGAAAAGAAGTTTCCAGGATAACTGGACGCAAGTCAGTCAAGTTGTTCAAAATAAAAGGCATCTGGACTCAGTGGCTTTTAGTGCAGAGTCCTGACATCCTGCAGGCCAAGGCGCGGCGTCTAATCTTCTTTACCTGATCCACTTCTCAGGGCTTCCCGAGGCTCCTCTCCATAACTCAGCTCTGAAGAGCTGTCACTGCTGTGCCCTACAGAAAGGAAGGAAGTTCCGAGTCAGTCCTCGCCTGTGCCTGAGCATCCCATCCAGTCTTTAAAAGGAGGACTGCAAAGGGAAGCTTGAGTAAGAGGAAGGGATATTCCTGCCACCAGGCCACCCTTTGGCTCCATCTGACCGCTGGACAAGGTTGCTCCAGGAACCATCCCCAAGGCTGGGGCTGGGGCCGGGGCCAGCTCTGCCAGGGAAAGCAGCCCCTTCTGTCCCCATCTCTAACACTTCTGACCCCTTCCCCTTATTGGCACAGATGTCAGCTTCCACCTGCGTTTCTTACTGGGGGCATTGGACACAACCTTTAAGAGACATCAGCACCTCCATCAGCTGGGCCCGTGACCCTGTGAGGCGGGTGAGCACTCCATCTGGGAACCACCTGATCTCAGTGAGTGAGGACTGACCTTGTGCTGGTGCCACTGCACACTCGAGGCCTCTGGGTTATACCGATTAGTCTGACTCACTAATTATAGTAATATCGTGTGAATCATCTAAAATCTCAAAAATTGTATTTTGATTTTAAAGGATATAAAAACCAAATGAGGCTTTTGTGGCAAGGAAAACTGTTTGTTATACCAAGAGTTTTTAATTGCTCTTACTTCTTTTCTGACTGTGTATCCTCCAAGTAGACATCCTCACAGAATCTAGAAAGGAAAGGAAAGCAAAACCAGTGACCAGTGTCTACTGAGACAGGATTTGGACTTCAAAGATGCTATAATGATTATTTCTGTCTCTCTAAAGAGGAGAGTTCCCTACCGAATGGGGAAGAGACATACATCTTTTAGCTCTAACTGCAAAATCAAAGAGTTTAGAAACTGATAATTTTTTCCCCATAGGTTTGCAGCTAAATAATTTATCAATGAATCTGGGCTCCCTGGACTGCCTAATCATGCTGTGGTGTGTGCTCAGAGTAAAATGCACCTGGGAACAGGGGCTCTGCATCGTGCCCTGGATGTCCTGGAGCCCAAGTGGCAGAACTTGCCCTTGGCATCAAGCTCACCTGTTGGTGTTGAGATCCGGAGTGCTGAGGGTATCTCCTCCTCACTGGATTCTGAAGAGCCATAGTCACGTCCTCTCGCTACAGAAAGGAGCAAATATCCCTTGGAGGTCTTAATGTATGCCAAGGGAACCAAGACAGAGGAATTCTATAGAGAGGACACTAGGAACAACTTGGAGAGCTCTGAAATTCCAGGGCAAGATTATTCCTCCCCTCAGACTTCCATGATCTGCCTTTCAAATTCATGTGACTCACCATCCCCTAGCCTGACGCTAAGAAAATTTCACCCTCACTGGGCATCTTGCTTTGCCTTGGCCCCTGTCTTCCTCCACTGCATTCTCTTTCTTCTTTTACTTGTCCTTTATGGATTTATTGTTGGCTTTATGTCTGCATCTGTATTGATCCTAGCTTTGCTTCTCTTTCAGGACAATCATGGAAGTCTGGTATTGAAGAAGGGGAATCTTCTATTTGGCTATTTCTCTGACAACCACCGAGAATAGGATCATGCCTCTTTCCCCCTCTAAAACTTTATAAGCTTGAGACAAATGACAATATTAATGAAAAGAAGAACACTTTTCTTACTATATCCTATAAAATAAAAAGGATGGGTGGAGAATAAGTATATTATTTCAACTCTTTACCAGTAATAGGTGTAATGATATGCAGTCAAAAAGACTCATTGTATAAACACATTTTTGCAATGTTTTCATTGTAGCAGTCAATTAAGTTTTTTTTTTCAGTGAAACAACAGTCTAAAATGCTTTCTTAACACCTTCGATTTCCCATTAGGACCAGATTGCAGAAAAAGATATCCTAGAAGCTACAGAATCAGGGCATATGAAGAATGCTCAGAATAAAATTAATCAGGAAAACAGCTGTGGACTCTGCCATTCTGTATTCCTGGAGTTGCCATCTAATTTTACCTGGAGCAGCCTGGTGCCATGAGCAAGTGGCTTCTTGGGCCTCTTCTTCATCTCTCAAGTCAAACTGGACATGGTTTTTGATCACTGCACAAAAGAACAGAATTCTTTAGGAGCCTCTGTTGTGACCAAGGAATCAACTCAGTAGAAAATTCCCTAATAAGAAAACTTAGAAAAACCTTAGGAAAAAAGGTAAGGCCACAGTGATCTGCTTTTCTGATTACCTGCCATGTAGGTTAGTGACTCGCCATATTTATCCCCGGTGACACAAACACTTCCCTGGCAAGGGGCATCTTTGCATGGCTTGGCTTTTCTTCCTACACCTCTCCCTTTTACTTTTCCCCTCTGCTGGCCATTCCATGTTTCCATCTTCTCTGCCTGATCTCCGTGGAGGGAGGCCTTGAATATCTTACGTTGAGGATGACAAGGCTCCTTGTCCCCCACGCCCCATTTACAAGATCAAGAAATAATACTCTCTTGGGTGTGAGTCCTAGACATATCTGGGAACTACTCTTTGGAGCAGTTTGTCCACACCAGGATAAGAGTCAGAGATGTACAGTCTGCTGAAGCAAATTCACATTTTTCTTTAGAAGCTATTGGGAGCAATTGGAAAGAACATATGATTTAAAATATTGTTCTTTTGTGACCTCAAGACCAGGAAAAATTTTAATTTGCCCTTTTTCCAGTATGGTTTCCCTAAAGAGGCATGTTTCCAAAATACTCTGGATCTAGAAAATTTAAAAGGAAAACAAATTACCAATTTGTGCGCTACAGAGGTTTTTGTTTGTTTGTTTGTTTTTTTGTACTGAGGATTGAACCCAGGATACTGAGCTACATCCCCAGCTCTTTTTAAAATTTTTATTTTGAGATAGGGCCTCACTAAGTTGTAGAGGCTGGCTTCAAACTCCAGTTGGAACTACAGGTGTGCACTACTATACTTGGCCACTACAGATTTTTACATCTTAAAACTCATACCGCAGGTATGACTGAGATAATACAACATCTCGATAATCATATTAATCTTGCATTTTATAAGGACATAATTCCAGATCCAGGATCCTAGTCTTGTCTCTCCTTTAATTCCCCATGAGACTCTGGAGAAGAACTTAGCACATTTCTAGGATTGTGTTGTCTCTTCTGAGAAACAAAGATGACAGTGCCTATCCTGCTTACCCTTTAAAGTTGTTGTAGAGGAAAAAAAATAAGTATATTATTTGCAAAGTTCTCTTGAAAAATCACTACAAATGCCATGGCTTGCTGCAGAATTTTGTCAAAAACAACACTTTGGGTTTCATAATAAATTATCTCAAGTCTTTATTTCTGCTAACATTAGATAGTTGAATGAACTGTATTTTGTTTGTGGTCAGATGACAATATAAACTTTTAATAAAGGAATATTTAATGGCAGCATAAACTTCTAATAAAGGAATATTTAGCTTTCTGTTCTGTATAGAAATCACTGGATAAGTCTAAAACTTTGTGTTCATAGTAATTAGTTTCTAAACAAAATCGTTACTTTGCTAGCCTATTTCTACTATATAATCAATGCATAAATTTATATTGATAAATAGAATCCATCTATTCACAATTTCAATCATCAAAAATAAATACATGATGATTTCTGGGTCCACACATTCCCCCAAAGGGTCAAATCAATGCAGACTTGGGAGTCTCAGGATAAACTGGAGCCATCATATAGAATAGGTTCAGAATAAAGGACATCAGAGAACAGTAGCTCCAATTCCTGCAGCCCAGCCTGCTGTCCCAGCCCACTGTCCCAGCCTGCTGTCCCAGCCCACTGTCCCAGCCTGCTGTCCCAGCCCACTGTCCCAGCCTTCCTTACCAGGATGGCTCCTCTGTGCTGAGTTGGAGATTGCTGCAGGCTCTTCTGTGTCGCTGGCGTCGTCCTCACTGCTGATGACTGCACAAAGGACCAAAATCCCTTCAGAGTCTCAGGGAGCCCAGCAGGAGCCCACACAGCCAGGCGCCCCACAACAAGAGCACGAGGAAGACCTGGGAACTAGGGTAACGTGGGGCTCTCTGCATGTGTGTGGCTTGGGGGCTATTCCAGGGCTAACCCAAATGACAAAACTGACACATGAGGCAGCTTTTCCCAGCCCACCGACCCTCTGACCTCCACCTCTGCTCCACCTCTTCCCTTTCCTCTGGGCTCTGGCCACCACCCCAGCTTCTGCCTCTGTTTCTGGCAATGGCTCCTCTTTGTAACTCTTTGTCTTGATCTGTTCTTTCTCCATCTCCTCTTGAGAATATCCTGGTTCCCCATTTTCCCCCTTTTCTTTAATTCCTACTGCTTTCCTTTTCCTCTTTCTTCAGGAAGCGAGAGCCTCTCCTCTCGGCACTGCCCACAGCTCCATGTCTCTGCTGCCTCCCCAGGTATTGCCTGGGCAGTGCCCGGCTCCCCAGACTAGCTGCCCATTTGAAGTCCCTCCAACATGGCAGACACTGACAACAAAGAACACTCTGAACTTGATCAAGATTTGGATGATGTTGAAGAAGTAGAAGAAACTGGAGAAGAAACAAAAATCAAAGTGCATCAGCTGACTTGGTTCAGATGATACAAAATCCTCAGATTCAAGAAAGACTCGAGGGTCAGGTAGAAACGCCAACAGGGTACATTGAAAGGTGGCCTAGGGTGGTTAAGAGAGGAGTGAATCCTCTCAGACCCTCAAGTTAAATGTGCACAGATGGAAGCCAAATTCCATGAGGAAGTTCATGATCTTGAAGGGAAGATGCTGTTCTCTGTCAGCCTCTATTTGCTAAGTGATTTGAGATCATTAATGGAATTTATGAACCTCCAGAAGAAGAATGGGAATGGAAACCAGATGAAGAAGAGGAAATTTCAGAGGAGCTGAAAGAAAAGGCCAACATAGACGACGAGAAAAAAAGATGAAGAAAAAGAAGACCCTAAAGGAATTCCTGAATTTTGTTTCACTGTTTTTTTTAAGAATGCTGACTTGCTCAGTGACCTGGTTCAGGCAGCTGATGAACCTATTCTGAAACACTTGAAAGACATTAAAGTGAAGTTCTCAGAAGCCGGCCAGCCTATGAGCTTTATCTTAGAATTTCACTTTGAACTCAATGAATATTTCACAAGTGTTCACAAAGACATCTAGGATGAGGCCAGAGTCAGACAATTCTGATCCCTTTTTTTTGATGGTCCAGAAGTTATGGGTCGTACAGGGTTCTGGATAGATGGGAATAAAAAGGACAGAATGTCACTCTGAAAACTATTAAGAAGCAGAAACATAAGGACATGGGACAGTTCGTAGTGTGACTAAAATAGTGATTCTTTCTTTACTTTTTTTGTCCCTCCTGAAGTTCCTGACAGTGGAGAGCTGGATGATGATGTCGAAGCTATTCTTGCTGCAGACTTTGAAACTGGTCACTTTTTATGTGAGCGTATAATCCCAAGATCAGTGTTCTGCTTCACTGGAGAAGCTATTGAAGAAGGAGGAGGAGGAGGAGGAGGAGGAGGAGGAGGAGAAGGTGAAGAAGCAGATGAGAGTTATCAGTTCTCTGTTGAAGTCAAGAGCTACAGTAAGCTTTTTCAACGTTGGCTGCAGTAAATCTTTTTGATAAAAGCTGTCTGGATGGTTGGGAAATTTTTCTTAATAGAAGTGTTCAAATTAAATTGTATTATTACTAAACTCTCTAATCATGGAAATCTGTTGACCCATAGAGTAAATTGTATTAAATTTTCCCTACATTATGAGCCAATTTTTCCTACTGTGAACCTACTTCATGGATGCATTTTGAAATTTAATATAGGGAAGGGAAGAGGAAGGAAATGAAGAAAATGATCCAAACTATGACTTGAAGGATCAAAATCCAGCAGAATTCAAGCAACAATGAGGCAGGACGTACGTGGCCTTGAGGATTTTGTATTTTCTTGGTAGACTCAGTATTTTTTTTAAAAGAGAGGAATTGATATTTTCAAGACAGATTTGTTCTCCTTAGCATTTTAACTATAGCTTTTCTGCCATATCTGTTGAATGCACAAATTCTCTCATGCATGTTCATTCATTGCTGCAGTTTGATTCTTCTGGAACATTTACATCATGTAGTTATTGGAATACAACTATAAAAATTAACAACTGTTAAATTAAACTAATGTTTTTTAATACCTTTATTTTACTTATTTATTTATGTAGTATTGAGGATCGAACCCAGTGTCTCACACATGTTAGGAGAGTGCTCTACCACTGAGCCATGACCCCAGCCCCCAAACTAAATGTTTTTTGTTTGCTAATTTTTTTTTGAAGAACAAAAGTAGTTTTCAATTGGTAGTAGAGTGAGTTTAAGTCTGCTTGCATAGTTGTGCTTTTCATTTATTTGTTATAGAAATGCAGTGATTTTTTTTTACTAACATAACTCATCATTTGAGGGGAAAAAAACTCCGTAACTAACATGGTTAAGAATTTGCAGTCAGACCAAACCCGATAAATATTAGTATTAATGGGATATAGTCAATTATAAGGAAGTCTAACTCATAATATGGTTATTGTTTATCACAGTGAGGTGAATAAAACAATTTTCAGAAGGTTATTAACCTGAGAGAAGTGTACTTGTAAACTTAACCTCCATTAACTAAGTATCTTTTCTTTGTGGTAGGGTCTACCTTCTGCTTTCCCAAAATGGATGAATTTATAACATTCGATGAGCCTATTTCAAGTTTTTGTTGTTTGTTTCCTTGTTTTTATTTTTGCAGTTTAAAATAAAAATGTCAAATGCAATTTTAGTTCTCAAAAAGAAAAGAAAAGAAAAAGAAAAAGAAACAATTCCTCTGACATCAGTTCTCATTATTACCACCATTTCTGCCAGTATTTTCCCAGACCCTAAGGACCTCTGTTAAGCTAACTCGCTTCAGCTTACCCAGCGCTGGCCTGCTCCAGAGGCTACCTGGACTGCCTGGTGGGCCTTCATGACATGCGGAGCCCTTTACCTGGGAACCTGTTCACAGATCCTTTCAGTCAGCCTTACCTATTACTTCGGATGGCTGGTAATGGTTGGTCCTGGTTTGAGATCCTTGCTTCATTTGCGTGGGAAAAAATGGCTTTTCCTTCTTTATATCCACCAGATGCACAGAACAGGAAGTCATGTGGATTCCATGGCTGGAGAGCTCTGCTCCTGGGCCAAATTGTAATGAATAAAGAATTTTCCTTCTCCTCCCCCATTGACAAGCATGCCATTGATAACAATCTCTTTCTGAAACTGCATTGTTGAGATGCCCGTCCTCTATTTCCTGCTGCTTAGTTCTGTCCCTCCCTTTGTACCTCTCTTGATGGTGTTTTGTTTTTAACCTATTTTTTCCCCATTTTTTTTTGTAAATAACATTTTTTTTGCCTTTTTAAAAAATAAAAATTATAATTGCAGTACATATAAAAGTGGGTTTTGAATGATTACGAAGTATGTCTCTTTGGACAAGACACAGATTGCCAACACCCCAGAAGCCTCTTAGGACATCTCCCATTAATTGCCCCCACTATCTTTCTCAAAGTCAACAGCCTTCCTGATTTCCAATACTCCCATTAGTTTTGCCTCTTAAGTAATTTAATTTTATATAAACAGAATCATGCTCTTGTTACTCACTCTCTCATATATATCCCTGAAGAAGCCAAGTAGCCCCAAATTCATCTATAAATATGTGTATGTGTGTGCATATTTATATATATATACATGTTACATATTTATATAACATGTTTGTGAGAATCATCCATATTCATTTTTGTATAATTATATATAATAATATAATTTTGTATAATTATTCTTTTTGCACACGCTATCGTATTCCATCATAGAAACAAGCTGACATGTGTTTCTCCTTTTGTGCTATTTCAAGTGTCTGGCTTTATGAATACTGCTGTGGACATTGTCTTCTGATGAACACAGTATGCATTTCTGGTAGTTTCTTCTGAGAAATGCAGTTCTGAATTCTAGAGTAAATATTTCCAACTTTAACAGATGACACCAAACTGTTTTCTAAAAGCACATGTAAAGGCAGACATATAAGAGAAAGAACTTGGCAAATTCAAGTAACTGAAGAAAGTTTGGTGAGCAAGGCATTAGAGGGTTAGAGGCAGGTGATGGGGGTAGGCAGCACACAGTCCTCTTTCAGGATGTGTCACACCAGGCAGCACTGACCTAATTCAGGACCACAGGAAGGCACTGGGTTCTAAATAGGAGAGCCATGGGAACTGGTTTGCATTTTTGAAAGTTCCATTTTTAGTGTAAGTTCGGACAATGCGTTTGAGGGGGCAAGGTTGTACAGACAAAACCAAACCAAACCAAAACTAAAACAAACCAAACCAAACCAAACCCAAACCAAACCCAAAACAAAGCAAACCAAGCAAAAACACTGTTCCTCCAGTTCTGAGAGCCAGAGGGATTGAGGTCAGGATGATCGTGCTGAGGGTGCAGAGAAAAGGAACCGTTGGAGATATTTTAAAATCAGAATTGAAGGAAGTGGTAAATACAGTGATGGTTGCTTTACACCAGTAAGTCTGGGGTGGTTTGTACATTACACTGCCATAGATAATGGTGACAACCTCAAAAATAGAAAAATCCTTCAGATCTTTGAAGATTTTCAGACACTTTGAAAAATGAGACAAACAACAGGTCTGGGTGGGAAATGTGTGTTTAGGAATCAAGAGAATCTACATGGTGACTGAGCCTTGGAGAGGCAGGATTCCCTAGGGGAGGAGAATTTTGGTAAAGGACACCTTACCCTTCTCAGGATTGACAGAGGCAACTTGTGCCTTTTATCCTCAGATCAAACAGTGTCTTGATTTGTCCTCTGTCCCTTGTTGGACACGGCCCCTCTCTACCAGTTTTCCACCCACTGCGTTTTAACTGGTTTTCTGCAGGACTCTTCATGTCCCACCCCATGTTTTTGTCCTATTTCTTGATACTTCTCGATCCTTTGTATCTTTGTCTACTCTTCTTCTCTATGCTTTTTTCTTTAAAAAATAAGAAACACACACACACACACACACACACCAGGACTAGGTGAGGCAGAGGTGGTACTGTGGACACAGAGTGAAGGAACCCTGAGGCCCAGGTGCTCAGAGGGAGATCTCCTTACACTCTGTGCCTGGGGTTCCCTCTGCTGTACCTGGCCTCGGCCCTGCTGTCCCCTACCTGATGCTTTAGCTGACCCATCTGTTACGTTTTTACCTGCTCCTCATCTGCTTTTTAAATTTAATTATCAGTGTGACTCCTGACTCTTCTATGTCACTTTTTGTCTTTCTATATTATCTCATTCCAACCCCTCCAGTCATCACCAAAGTCTCCCCAGAGCCACTCCCACTGCCCTGGAGTTCTTCCACCTGTGGTTTCCTCCTGAGGGCCTTCCCCTGGGCTTCCTTCCTTGCAAATCTTATAGGAAACATTATGCATGATTTCCACGCTTCCATTTAACCTTTGAAATAAGTTGCACCTTATTTGTTTTAATCAACCATGTGACATGGAAATGTTTGGATTCCATGTCAATCTATCTAACATCTGCCTCATTCATGTACTTATTTATTGATCTTTAGTTGACCTTTCCTATACATTCGTGCCTTGTTTTCTCTACCCAAGGACACACACCGCCTCCATGAAAGCGCACAGCCCTCTCTCCCTTGCCTTTCACAGCTCTTAAAAACCACCAGAGGGTGTGCCCAAAGGCCGCGTCTGGGACCACAAGCAGAATTGTTGCTCTCATAGAAAAGTGAAGATATAATTAGAAAATTGGGGAGGGGCAGAGCAAGTTGGTGGAATAGAACTCTCCATTGTTCATCCCCCCACAGAAACACCAATCTGAACAACTGTGTGCACGAAAAAACCTTCACAAGAGCGGTGGGAACCAGGTGAGAGATCACAGCATCTAGGTGAGGCAAAAAATTAAGAAAACTTGGCAGAAAGGACTGTCTTACATAATCTGGGTCATGCCTTCCCTAACCTCAGGCAGCACAGCACGGAGAGACCCTTCACCTGGGGGAGGGAGAGGGGAGTAAAAGCTAGACTTTGTCTTATACTCCAACACTGGGTCTTCCCCAGCAAAACTCAGTGCTGAGCAGGCCCAGATGACTTCAGATTCCAGCCCATTCCTGTGGTCTGAGCCTTCAAGCCTGCCCAACCCCAGGCTGAGTCCCACAGTCCCAGGATGATGGCCAGTCCTGTGAATTTGGTCACAGGTGACTCAATACCAGGTCAGCCTCAGCAGTCCCACACTTCAGATCAGGTCCATTCCAGATCAGCCCCAGAGCATCAAGCCAAAGGCCCACCCCAGCACCTGGACAGCCCAGTGGTGCCAGGCTTCAGCTTCCACTGTAGCCCCCCAAGAGCTCTGCAATCTCTGAGTCTAGGTCCACCCTAGCCCAGGACGACTCACTGGCTGTCCTAGGCACTGGGCCAGCAAGCCTGTCCTTGGACCACACCAGACGCCCTGCCACAGATCTCTGGGTCAGCAGACTGGCAAAGGCTTTCTAGGATAAAACCAGTTTTCGGAGACTGGAACAAGCCCCCATTTCCTCAAATGTACAGACATTTGAGGTAATAAGAAACTTGAAAAATCAGGAAGTCAGAATATCAACAAAGGAACACCATCGTGTCCCAGTAGCATGCCCCAAAGAAATGGATATATGAGCCACCTGAGAAAACATTCAAAATAATTGTTTTAGGAGAGCTCTGTGAACTTCAAGAACATACAGAGAAACAACTCAGTGAAATCAGGAAGACAATAATTGACCAAAGTGAGAAATTTAACAGAGGTTGAAATTTCAAACAAAACAAAACAAAAACAATAGAAAAACAACTAAAACAGAAATTCTGGTGCTGAAAATATAATGAATTAGGGGCTTGGGTTGTGGCTCAGAGGTAGAGTGCTTGCCTATCATGCATGAGGCACTGGGTTTGATACTCAGCACCACATAAAAAATAAAATAAAGATATTATGTCCTCCTATAACTGAAAAATAAATTTAAAAAAGAAAATACAATGAATGCAATGAAAAAATGCAACTGAAAGTCAACAGCAGAATTGATCAAGCAGAAGAAATAATCTGTGAATTTGAAAACAGGTTACTTGACAACACTTAGGCAGAAGAGAAAAATTAAAAGGAGTGAGGAAAACTTACAGGTTTTTTGAGACATTTCAAAAGAGAAAATTTTAGAGTCATAGTGGTCTGTAGAGGAGCAGAGAAAAACAAAGGGGTAGAAATCTTATTTGAAGAAATAATAGCAGAATATGTTCCCAATTTTGGAAAAGATACAAATTTCCAGGTACAGGAAAGTCAAAGGACTCCAATCAGACTCAATCCAAACAAAACTACACCAAGACACACCACAAGAAATAAGGAGACCAAATTCATGATCAAAATGGAAGTTATACTGTTGTTGTAAATAAAGGCCACATAGGACAAACACAGCAAGCATCAGACAGTGAAAAGTTGAAAGGTTTCCTTTTAAGATCAGGAACAAGAAAAGAACGTCCACGTGTACCACGTCTACCCAACACAGATTTACAAATGGCCAGTGAGTGTATGCAAAGGTGAACATCACAGTTCATCAGGGAATTACAAATAAAACCACAATGAAATATCACCTCATACCTGTTAGAACAGTTATTATAAAAAAGACAAAAGATAGTGAGTGTTGGTGTGAAAGGAGAGAGAAGGGAATCTTTGCACATTGTTGGTGGGAATGTAAATTAGTATAGCCTTATGGGAAACATAATGGAGGTTCCACAAAAAATTCAAGTAGAGCTACCATACCATCCAACAATCTCCCCACTGGGTACATATCCAAAGGAATTAAAATCAGTGTGTCAAAGAGATATCTAAACTCCCACGCTTATTACACAGCATTATTGACAAATCCCAAGATATGAAATCAACCTAAATACCTAACAACAGACCATGAAAATGGAATATACATGCAAAATACCAGCCTTAGAAAAGAAGAAAAAAATCCTGTCATTCACGACAACATGAATGAACCAGGAAAATATTATGTTAAGTGAAATAAGCCAGACACAGAAAAAGTCCCATGGCATGATCTCACTTATATGTGGAGTGTGAAAGTATTAATCATGATCATAGAAGCAAAGGGGATAATGGTTATCTATCAGTAGCTGCTGGGAGAGAGGAAGGGGTTAGAGGAGATGTGGGATATAAGATTTCTATTAGGAGGAATAAGTTCAAGAGATCTACTGTATAACATGATGACTATAGTTAATAATAGTATTGTATTCTTAAAATTGCTGAGGTCATGGATTTTAAGTGTTCTCACCATAAAAATTATAAATATGTAAAATAAAACATGTCAATTTTAGCTCAATTAGTCATTTCTATCTATGTATATATCTAATATGTATATATTTTCATCATATTGTATATAATACCTATAAATTACACAAAATATATATTATTACACATTGTACATAATAAATATATATAAATATAAACATATTATGTAAATCAGCTCTAAAATGATTAGGGTGGTTAAAAAGGCAATTGATAACCCCACAAACATGGAGGATCTGGGGAAAAACAAAAGGGTAAGGTAAGTGACACTTACTTTCTACACAGTGGGGCAACGGGCTGGGTGTCCCCACGCTCGCCTCTCCACGGTCCACGTTGGCAGCCATGTGTTGGTGGGACTCTGAAGTTTAAAAAAGACCCCGGTTGAGACCCAGTAGAACCTCGCTCTGCTCTGTGTGCATTTTGTTCTATTTCATTCTGTCTCTCCTTCCTTCCCACATTTCTATCTGTAGCCTTGTTTGCATATATTGCCACCTGCAGTTGTGAAGGTGTCTGTGCTTCACTGTTTCTGTGGCCAATCCCTCTCTGACTTCTTTTGCCTTTTTTTAAAAAAAATATATATATATATATATTTTAGTTGCAGTTGGATGCAATACCTTTATTTTATTTATTTATTTTTATATTTTATATGGCCTTGCACATGCTAGGCGAGTGCTCCACTGCTGAGCCCCAACCCCAGCCCTTCTTTTGCCTTTTATTTCTCTAGGGCCTCTTAGCCCCTCCACACTCACACAAAGGAAGTGAGTCAGCCTTACCTACTGGCTCTGACTCTCGAGGGCATTGCTCATTTCCTTGGTGGCTTCCTACTGCACCATTTGGGTCTCGGGCCGGCTCTCTTTTATTTACATTTCTCTCTTCTGCTTCGCAAGGATGCGCCAAGAGTTCATTTTCGGGTAGGTCTGTACCTAAACCACATTTTAATTCATAGACATTTTATTCGCCCCTTGCATCAATCAGGATCAAATAGGAAAATACAAATCACTGGAAGATCTTAAGGTAGAGAGAATTTAACTCAGTTGAGAGAAGAGCCGAGTGCTCCAAAGGGAAGATGCAGCCAGCAGAAGCGTCAACAGGAGGCTGGAGGGGACTGAAGGTTGCCCACTCTAGGCTGGTGAGCAGAAGCCTGGCCCGCGTGGTGGAAGGTGGGGAGAGCCATGGGGAGGAGCAGCTACCAACTCAGTGGCTCCCCAGCGTAGTGGTGGGGCTATACTTCCTCCAATTGTGCAAACTTTTTCTAATGTCTCTCACGCTGGAATCAAGGAGAGTTGGCAATAAATAAATAAATAAATAAATAAATAAATAAATAACAGAGGTGAGAAGCTACAGGTAGAGGGAAGAGTGGAGCAGGAGGGCAAAGAATGAATTCCAAGCACACAAACCTGGGGTGGGAACACCTCCTCCCCCTGGTGAACTTCCCTGGCCCATTGCTGACTTCAACTACCCACACCATTCTGTTTCCAGGGACCTCGATAGTCTGCGAGTGGACAAGTGTATTTTTTTGCAGTTGCATTTTTTTCCATTTAGTGCTCTTTTTCTAAACAAAGTGGGTTATGGAAAAATTATTTTAAAAGTTTTTACAGAAGTTTTAATGTGGAACTTAGAGCAGGTGCATGTTTTGTGCCACCATCCGAAGCTCCTTGGAACTGCTTCTTCGTGTTGTGGGCGTGAGACACGGCCTTTATTCCCCTGTGCATGCCACAGGCAGTGTCCTCCTGGCTCACTGTTGGACACACTCGTTGATGACTTATTGTGCTGTCTGTGCATCATTTGGGTTTCAGGTTGAAATTTCTCTTCATATTCATCTGGTTCTCATCCCTGAGGAGTTCTAAGATTCTAACCCCAGGTAGGGTTGCCCCAGACCACAGGGAGATTCATGAAGAACTGACTTGTCTCTCCCACATGCTCACTGCCCCTACTGAATCCCTTCTCTGCTCGTTATTAATCACCTTTCCATCCATTCATTCCTTCCTGCTTCCACTATCTGCACTGGTAGATGGACAATTAAGAACATGGCTCGTGCTTGTTGTATTTTTTTTTATAATTTAAATGTCAATTTTTTGAATAAAAGTAGTTTCTAAAAGTATAATTATGCTTTTAAAAGTCACTCTGAAAGTATTCTGTAACAATGTATTTCTGATTTTAAAAATATTTTCTTAAATAACATCCTCCTTGCTGGGCATTCCCTGGAGACTCGTTTCCAAAGAAGAGTCATGGAATAAAGACATAAAAGTTATTCTACACACATGAGTGTACTTTAGAGGTGGGGAATCTCAATTTAATTTCCTGCTCTGAGGTTGGTATTGCTTTGTTCATCATTTCTCCTGGTTGAGAAATAATTAGATCCACAACAAACATTCATGTCAGACATATAGATAGAGAGTATATCAAAATTTACTGTCATGGTTGGACAGGCACGGAGGTACACACCTGTAATCCCAGCAGCTTGGGAGGCTGAGGCAGGAGGATTTAGAGTTCAAAGCCAGCCTCAGCAATGGCGAGGTGCTAAGCAACTCAGTGAGACCCTATATCTAAATAAAATACAAAATAGAGCTGGGATGTGGCTGAGTGGTTGAGTGCCCCTGAGTTCAATTTCTGGCACTCCCTCCCCGCAAAAAAATTATTGTCATGGTTAAAAGGTTAGACTCTGGAGGCAGGTACGAATAGCAATGGTAATTAAATTAGTAAAGATGACAAAGTCATATAACATAGATGAAGTTCCAGGCACGATTGTGAAAGCTTTCATTGGTACAACTTGTTTAGATACATCAACTCTGTAAGGTACATTACTAAGTGATGAAAGGGGGAGGTTCCTTGCCCAAGATTGCAGAGTCAGGATTCGAACCCAGGCAGCAGAGCATCAATATTACTGCTCTGACCCTATTTTATAGCAGAGTTCAATCCCAATTCTTAGTTGGGTGAAACTACACAAAAAAATCAAACTCTCTAAACCAACTCTTTCTCCTCTGAGAAAGAGGGTGATAAAACATCATTTTAAAGTATTTGAGAAGATAAATAAAATATTACCGGTATCAATATATGTGATATTGTAACTGATCAGAAAAAATAAAGTCATTATAATTACTATCTTAAATGTATAATATTTTGAATAATTGGATGATATATTATTAAGAGCATTTTGGATTTCAGGAAGGTCAAGAGTTGTTAAAGTACCAAATGGTTTTCGAAGAGACCCCCTGGTGTCTGAGCCCCAGGGATGGTGAGCGAAGGTGTCCTATAAGAGGCACCCTGGTGTTATGGTCTCATGTGTTGGACCCAAGAGGGATGACATTTTCCCCACAGAAAAAGCAGGCTCATTGCACCCCTCCAGCCGCACAACACGGGCCCCCACTGGACATGTGACCAAAGGCATTAGACAGATTTAAGCAAGGCAGGAAACTGAAGCCAGGGGCTTGGGACAAGTGTCCAGACCAGAGCTGGTACCAGGACTGGCAGCAAGTGCATGCAAGGGGTAGGGAAGAAGAATCCCTCCTAGGCAACCCCGAGGGTCTTTATTTAAAAATCTCTGTTATTTAATTTCCAAACTTGGAGAAGCTACAGATGCAAAAATTAAAAGTTCTGGGCAATCAGTCACACAAGGAAGCAGCCTCACAGAACATTCCAGATGGAGTAAGACAGCAAAGGGTCCCACAAGAGGCAACAGCAACAGACCATTGTAAGACGAGGGATCTGAGTGCTGTGGCCAGGTCAGTCTTCGCAGAAAAGAGTTCTCCCCCGTTCCTAAGGGAAGAAATTAGAAGTTGATCTCAGAAACTGAAGGATGGGTTTTGTCCTTTTTGTCTTTACAACGCAGATGGTAGAGACCCCTCAAAGTGTCAATCCAGACTCATCTGGAGCTGGAAGTTCCCTCCTGACTTCAGTCTCGAGAGTGGGGTCTGGGTCAGCTGCAGCCCTGTCTGAGGGTCTCACTGGGCCCCCTCACTAGGGTCCTCTGTGAGTTACTCTGGCACCTGGAGATGGCCTGCTTTTGTCCCCAGCTGGCCTGCCCCATGGCCCTACCTGAGTTCCTAGAAGCCCTGGCGGCCTGGTTCCTGCCCTCCCACACCACAGCCTCCTGGCACAGCCTGTGGCTCCTCCTTGGTGGCCTCCAGTGGGGATCAGCGACTGGTCTGCCTCACTCCTCCCTCTCCAGGCATCCTCTGTTTCCTTTATCTTTCTGTCTGCACCTCTTCCCGTACTTTGGTTTCATGTTTCTGCCTTTTTCATTAGACAACCCGGGAAGCATCATGGGGCTAAGAATCCTTTTCCCTTGCTCCTTTGACCCCGGGCAAACTCCATATGTGGTTTCTAGATTTCAATTTCCTCCTCTATAAAAAGGGCTAACCTTTTAGTGATAACCATCTCTAATTACAACAGGACCTTAGCGGCTGCTTTTGCTAAAAGCACTGACTCTTCTCTTGGACTTGCAGATGCCCAACAGGTAACTAAAAGCAGGATGCAAATTTGGCGTCCATGCCTTCATTTTGTATCTCTCTCCTCCTGCTCAACTCTGCATACAAGCATGACAATCATTTCAGGAGTGTTCAACTAAAACTGGTATTTCCCTTTGCGGCTGAAGGCACCAAGATAAGACTAATTCAGGTATTTTTAAAAATTGAAAGGACATTATAATTAACAGATTGGCAACTGCCGGCTTTTACAACATTCTCTTCTATACTGCCAGAGCCATGCCTAGAACTTTCCAATCATTGCCCTAAACCTCCCAGAAATAGCAACTCTTGTAGGCACAAGGAGACTGCCCCCCTGCCCCAATGAACCCTGGACTAGAATGGCGGCTGCTCTGTAAGCAGTAGCAATCATCTTTGGATGGGAACTGAATTGTCCCCCTGAGCAATGGTGACTTCCTCAGAGAGCCACAGAACCAGTCCTGATATGACGACCCACCAGGCCATGACCAGGATCGGCTGCCTTACCAGCTCTGTACGCTCTCCAGCAGCGCAAACCCCTAAACCCCACTATGACACCTCGACGTTCTTACCAGCCCCTGGGAGTCAGATCTTACCTCACTAGACCTTCCCTGCTCTGCCCAGCATGGCCACACTGATTACGGCTCTTTTCCTGTCCTCACCACACTCCTCTCTCTGACCAACATCTTGGGTTGGGTGACTGAACCTAGTCCTTTGGGGCCCCCAGAGCCAGGGCCTTTGCCCTAATTACAATAACACGATGACAGCCTGGGCACTAATCTTCACAGCAGAGAGTGGACATTCGAGGTGAGCTGCTAAGGACACAGAGCTCTTTATTTTTTATTATTGTCCTTTGCCCCCTTCTGCCCCTCCTCCTTCCTGCCTTCTCAAGGCCCCATAAGCTCTTTCACATCTTGGCCACTTCCTCTCTGTGTCTATGTCTGTTTTCCTCCCGGGAGAGTCCTGCTCTTGGACAGCAGTCACTGTATTGAAACCAGCCCGGGCTTCTGCTGTCGTGAAGTGTGACACTGAGATAGAATGAGAAATAGATATTTTGGTCTTCATCCTGGCCACAGCGCCTGGAACCCCTTGTAATTTCCTAAGTGATAAAGGTGGAAAGAGCATTTTTGTTACTCACAACCATTCCCTTTCATCAACACCTGAGTTTATGCTAAAGAGGTGAGTTTTGGAATGTTCCTAAGGATGGAAGGAACTGAGAGTGGTTAGAAGGTTGGAGCCCCTGACCTCCAGGGAGGGGAGAGGGGATAGAAGTTGACTTCTATCAGTGGTCAATGATTTCATCCATCATGCCTGTCAGTATAGTGGGTTTTCTAGAAAGAAAAAAGAAAATCTCTAATGACAGGGTTCAGAGAACTTGTGGATTGGCAAACACAGCCGTGCTGGGAGAGTGCGGTGCCAAAGCTGGGCATGTGAGCTCTCTGCCCCTCTCCATTACTTTGCTCTGTACATCTCTTCCATTTGACTGAGTTGTACCCTTTAAACAAATGGGTGAACATCAGTAAAAACTTCTCTGAGTTCTGTGATCCATACTAACAAACCATCCAACCCAAGGAGGGGTAGGGAGACCTCCAATTTACAGTCAATTGGTCAGAAACAGAGGTCACACCCTGGAACTTGCAACTGACAAATGGGATGGTCTTATGGAGCATGGTCCTCAACCTGTGGGCTGTGCGAACTATAGGACACCCCATGGCTGTCTGCAGAGAACTCGAGTTTGGTTGGTGTAAGGAGAACTTCCACCCCGCAGGTGTCGAGTGCTGTGGGAAGGCACAGATAGAACCATTGTTTTTCTTTTGCTAAGGGTCTTTCTCCTTCATGTTGGCCACGGGTCATTTTTCTTAGCCCTTCACAGCTTCATACTAATCTTCTCCTGCAGGGACCTTCCTAAATCACAATTACTTCCTGATAGTCAGTCTCCTTAAATCTGTTTTCCTGGCCCACTGAGCTCTGGTTCCTTCCTCATGGTTGCTGGGCTGGCTATCTCTGGTTATGCTATTTCCCAGTATCCCACATCCTGTTGGGGCCAGTTAGGGTTGGGATTATAATGATCCCCCAAGGCATTATGGGAGCTAGTGGAGACTTTAAGAGGTGGGGCCTAATGGGAGGAAGTCAGGCCACTGGGACAATGTGCCCCTAGTCTCTCTTTGCTTTCTGGCTGCCATGAGTTGAGCAGCTTTGCTCCACTTCTGCCATGATGTTCTGCCTCACTAACAGGCCCACAATGATGGGGCCAAGACACTGTGGACTGAAACCTCTGAAACCACGGACCACAATAAATCTTTCCTCCTTTAAGCTGATTTCTCTCAAGTGTTTTGTTACAGTGACAGAAAGTTGACTAATACAAGGTCCATACAAATCACCCCTCCTTGCCATCTCCATGGTCCTTCCACATTTCTTCCCTGGTTCACAGTCTCTACTGCACGATGTCCTTGTTTCCTTTTCTTTTGAGCAGATGAGAAATGTTTTATCTAGTTGTAATTACCTTGTTCAAGCCTTTCCTGCCTCTCTTCTCCATTATCTTCTTGGGGATATAGCATTCTCACCTCTGAAGAGAGGGAAGGAGAAGAAGGCAATTAGAGATCTCCGGCAGGGACCAGGTACACCATCTCGAAATTATACATTTAAGAATTTCCAGTCCCCCAGTTACGTAGAGTTCAGTGAATCCCGCATGACACAGTTCACCTTCCCACCCTGCGACAAAACAGAGGAGACTCCCACAAAGGAGTCTATGCTTCCCACACACTAAGGAGATACTCAGTGGGAGGGGATACACTGTAAGCTGAGATACTCCTCTAAAAAATATTCAGAGGATAGCAAGGCAAATTTCAAAATAAATAATAGAAGTGAAATGTCTTTTCTGAACTGTTTGAACTGTAGGAATAAACTGTTCAGAGAGTCTGGGACCTTGGAGAGATCAGTATATGAAAGGGGAAGTCCCAATGGCTTTAAAGATAGGGCCAGAAACAAGGGGGGGCTTGGGCTGAAGAGGGTCAGGCAGGATGAATAGTTTCCAAAGGAGTATACAAGATACAGGACAGATGGAGGGGACATCAGGGCCCAGGAGGTGGCAGCATGTCCCCTGAGGACAGGTGTGCTGGTTGTGCTGCGGGTGGGGGCAGTGCTGCCACCCTGGCCATGAACTTTAGGCTTGGATCACCCAAGCACTGGGAGTACTAGAAACAAACACAGGAGATGTGGGTGCTAAGGCCAGAGAGGGGGTGTCTGCAATCCAGAAAGAGGTCGAAGCCCCTGGGAAGTGGGCAGTGAAGGTAACACTGTTCCTCTTGTAGCTCCAGCCTGCGGGGCGTCCTATGATAAATAGAATATGACTTGCCATTGGTGCCTGGGTGTTCAATCTCCTTTGTGACCTGCTAGAGAAATTATTCTGTTCTGTATTCTGTATAAGGTAACTACGGACACACGTCAACAAGCCGTAGGTCCCTGCTTTTACATTTTCACCCTGGTTTATAAACCTGTCATATCTCTTATTGCCTAGGAAATAAACCTCAACTTCTTGGCATTCAATGCCAGAACCTTCGCAGCCTCCCTTGGATTTATCTCACTAGAGTTGGTTCCTACATTGCTGCTCACTCTCAAATTCAGCCGAATCCAATTTGCCGGTTTCACAGACATACTTTTGCACACCTATTCCCTCTCCTCTTCAGGGGATGTGTCTGTTTTACTTGTGATGTCTCTATCTTATATTTTGAGAACTTGGTTGAGACCAAACTGTTGGAATAAAAAAATTGTCTATGCAAGTACAAAACCAAACAAACAAACAAAAATATTGGGGGGCATCCTTTTTATTGCATACCAATAAAAGTATGAATCATGCCTTCTTGGAAAAAGTGAAGAATCAAATCTTTAGTTTTGTATAACACCAAAAATACATGTTGATTATTTTATTAATATATGGTTTTGCCCCTTTTGATTAGAGAGTTAACAAAACCATTTCTTATTCTTTTAGGACAGTTTGACCCAGGATTACCTTTCTAACTCATTACTCTGGAAACCTAATAAAAAGGGGCCTTTTTGCTGGGCTACTAGGCAAACACTGGGCTTTAGAGTTAAAAATGACCCATGACTAGTTAGTTGCCTGAGAGGGACTACTAATTCCTGTAGAAAGCTACAACATTATGAAGGTCTTCCTTCAATGGTGATTCATTACTTGGCTTGTCCCCTGTGGGCTACCTGAAAACCAGGACTTTGGAATTCCAAGAGGTCTTGATTCCATGGACATGTGGTGCTAACTCAGGGTGGACCCTGCACCCAGAGCTAAGCAGTCACTCAAGGTGTGCAGTAGTGAACTTGGTGGACTTCTATGTAGTCCACTGAAAGGTTTCCCACTGAAGAGACAGGGTCATGCATCCCTCTTGGGACTTTGTTTCTAGTTCTATGCTTTTTTAAGTAAACCTGGCACCAATATGACTCTGGTTGCCCTGAGTCTAAAAACCCAGCTGAACAGACGTCCAGTGGTGCTTACTGAACAGCCATTCTGTCATTAGCACCTGACATGTCTGACTTATTAACTACCATAGCCCATGCATGGCACGTGGCCTTTTTGCATGTGGTGGAAGCTTCAGATATGCTTGTTGAAAAAGAAACTTGACCCTGGACCTCAAAATGTGGTAATATATCTAATTACCATGTTCAAAGCTTCTACGAACACGAATTAAATCAGGGTATTCCTGCAAGTTGACCTCACTGAACAATGCTTCGCATAAATCCAGGTTGAATTTCTTCTCCAGTTCACAGAGAACATTGTACACCACTCTTTGTACAGGGACCAGGTTTCTACAAGACTCTTGAGAATCCTTTAAAAAGAAGTGAATGGAAAAATTTAAATAGAGACTTCTACGTTACAAAAGAATGCTAGAAAGTAATTTTATAGTTAATGTATTTCAATTTCTCTACATAGGTATCATCTCATGTAAAGCTTCAGAATTTTTGTGCATTTGGATAGCTACTAAATGAAACAAGTAAATCCTATCTCTTAAAAAATACCCAATGGTAAGGCTGATCTCCTCATCCTTATTTACATTTAATGTAAGAAAGAGCAAAGATGAAAGTGGGTTCATAGTTAACTGACATGTAGCCCTCTAAAGAGCCTGGCTAAGGTGCTTTGGGAATAGACTTATCAGGTAATGAGGGCTGATCTATTGACTGGACACCCCTGCACTTCCCCCAGTACTGACTTGGCCTGAAGGGCTCAAGGAAATCAAGTGACCATTTCTCCTTACTATGAACTTGGCCACGAGAAAGCATATTCATAGGGGAAAACAAAGAGTCAGTGCTCTGTATCTCCATAATGACCAAAGATTGATCCCAATTCCAAGACTCCAGAAGTAACCCCCTTCAAAAAAAAAAAAAAGAAAACTTGTTAAAAGATGTTGCAGATATAACAGCAATCATCCACTCTTAAAAATTCATTCTAACAACACAGCAATTTGCCATTGGATTTTAATGTTTTTAGAGCTAAGTATTTTAAGTTGATATTAGTTGAAATAAAATGTTGTGCTTACTGCTATTTCAACAAATCAATTCAATAAGATCATTTATCAATTCACTACAATTATCTTAAATTTTTACTTTATGTTATATTGTATGAATTTATATTGCATGAAAGGTAAGCATGACTTAATTTGGGGCTTGTTTACCAGGTTGTGACATAATAAACTTCACTTACTTCAAACATTTTATTGGTAATGAGTTCACGGTCACGGAGGCCCTCGAGGAAAGGAAATGTCTTTTTTATGGCATTTGAAATCTCCACTTTGTGTCTTTTGAAGTGATGGAATATAACCTCATAGATGGTACTGTCGTCTACACTCTGCTCTTCTGTGGACATCCTAAGGGAAAAGAATACCATGGGAAATCAAGATTCTGAGATGCTTGTAGAGGATCTTATACATGAAGATTGGGCTATGAAGAACCAACATATATTAAATAGGTGGTCCGGAGCAGAGCTACCCAGATAGATGGGATGAAACAATGGAAGAAAAACAAAATCTAACCTTGAAAGTACATCTTAATTAACAACTAAAAGAGAATAAATCTCAGAAAAATAAAAACAAGATGTCCCCTCTTTGACTTACAGCTATTAAGAGAAAAATATCATCCCATGCCACAAATCAATTCATAAATGTGTGACAATGATAGTAACAAAAATGATGATAACAATATGGTAAGTTGGGAATTTCCAAGAATATCAAAGCTATTTCCTGGGACATCAGGTTCTGCGTTGATTCACTACAAATCTGTCTATGCTATTGTCATGAACACGGACTCTTCTTAGGCAACTTGAATTTCAGAAATTAGTCATTTCCTGTGAAAATAATTTGAACTCTGACTCTTTAATTCTGATTCATAGTTGATGATTTTATTGCTCTAATAACAGTGTTTTAATCAACTTCTCTGTGTTTCTAAATGTTATGAAAACCCAAGCTTTCTTTGTCAAACCAGAAGAGACCTGTGCACACTTCCCAGGACCTAATGTGCAGCAGGGCATGAAAACACCAACTCCCCTTATTTTAAATTCCTGTGAACAAAGTTTCTGGTTAAAGATCATAGACTGAAGAGAACTATTCATCTTCTCATTTACTAAAACTAAGATACTTAAACGATGAAGCATTAGATTCAGAACACAAATAAAATGGCAGAGGATGATGAAAAACTTCTCAAGACAAAAACTAGACAGAGGAGTGCTCATTGCTGTTGTGGTAGAAGATGCACCCAGAGCTCAAAAAGCAATCAGTGTGTCCCACGAGCCCCAAAGAGACAGTGGAGATTGCAAAGGAGTCATGGGGTGACATGCTGTTGGAGAGATCAAAACAGAAGAGTATGCCTCACCCCTCAAACCGTGATCTGACCACAGTCAGCTTCCCAGGGACAAACATTGCTGGAATTTCTATCACCACATGCTAATTTTGCCCATTTGGGGTTTCCTATAAATGGAAAAGAATATTGTCTCTGCTTTAGTGTCTACTGTCGTGCTCCTCATCGTGCTGTTGTGTTTATTTTTTTATTTTATTGTGGAATGATTTTCCATTGTGTGAATCGACCACAATCTGCTCATCCAACTCCCTGCTGATGGACATTTGGATCCATTCCAGTTTGAGTCTGGAATGGATAAAACTACTGTTCTTGTAGAAGTCTGTTTATGGCAAAATGTTTTCATTACCTAGGAAAGAGACTCTGGGTGGTCGTTTAGGAATATGTTTAAGCACTTTACAACTTTTTAAGCTGTTTTTCAAAGACTATTAGAAATAGATCCTCTAACGTTAGCCATGCTAGTGTGTGTAATGTGGTATCTCATACTAGTTCTAATTCATATTTCTTTAGTGACTAATCATGTACAGTACATTTTCATGTGTTTTTTGGAAATTCATATATTTTCTTTTGTGAGGTGGGCCCACTTGTATTATTGGGTTATCTTTTACTTATCAATGCATAGTTATTTGCTTTTTATTTTGGATAGAAATATTTGTCTGAGTTACGTATTGTGAAGATTCCCCTCATCTTTGGCTTGCTTTTCATTTTCTTAACTATGTCCTTTGATGAGAATAAATTCCTAATTTTGAAGAAGTCCAATCTATTCATATTTTTATGGCTAATTAGTATTCTGTGTAAGAAATCTGCCCATTACCAGGTCATAAAAACATTCAAAAATCAATCTATAGTTTAAGCATGTCTATTTCTAGATTTTCTACTCTGTACCATTGGTCTATCTGTCTTTTCTTATGCCAATGCCATTTTTGGTTTGAAGACTGCAGCTTAAAGAAAGTCTTGAATTCATCTATGAAGAACTGTCTTGACTTTTCCACATCTTTGTTTTCTATGTGTTTTGGTTTGGATGTGAGGTGACCCCCAAAGCTCCTGTGTTAATGCAGGAATGTTCGAGGTGACATGATTGGACTAATTAGTGACTGGGTGGTAGTGGTAGGCAGGTGGGGCGTGGCTGGAGGAGGTGGGTCACTGGAGGTGTGATCTGGGGTTATATCTTCCTGCAGCCCCCTCCCCACTGCTTCCTGGTCCCATGAGCTGAGTGGCTTTGCTCTACCACCACGGTTCACCATGCCATTCTGTTTCACTTGGAGTCAACTGACCTTGGACAAAACCCATGAAACAATGAGCCCCAAATAAATCTTTCCTCCTCTATGTTGTTCTTGTCAGGTATTTTGGTCACAGTCACCAAAAGCTGACTAACACCCCAAGTATCTGTAGAATCCATTAGTCAGTGTCTATAAGAAAAGCCCTTTGGATTTTTATGGAGTTTGCAGTGAGCCTATTAACATATTTTCAAGAATGACATCTTAACAATATTGAGCCTCCAACCTGTTCCCCTTGTATGCCTCTCCACTTATTTTTCCCAGCACTATTTGGTTCCCAGCATAGCAGTCATGCACTTCTTTCATTAAATTATTTCTAGCTATTTTGTTCTTTTCAATGCTATTTTAAATGGTTTTAGTTTAAAATAATTTGTATTTTATGGAAACAGAACTGGTTAAAAATATTAGACATTTATTTATGACTTTGCTGAGTTCAGGTATTATTAGTTCTACTGAAGAACTTACAGATGTCCTTTGAATTTTATAGTAAATAATAATGTCGTCAGCAAATAAAAATGATTTTACTTCTTTTCCAACAATTATTTCTTTTTCTTATCCTAGTGTACTATTTACGTGTTTAAATATAATGTGCAAGTTATGAAAGTGAACTTTTTCTTTTTTGCTAATTTGAAGAAAAAGCATTCGTTATTGCCACTAAATATCTCTCTCTCTCTCTCTCTCTCTCTCTCTCTCTCATACACACACACACACACACAAACACACACACAGTCATGCACCACATAGTGACATTCCATCAAAAATGAACTACACATACGACAGTGGTCCCATAATGTTGTACCACCTAGTGGACACTGAGCCCTCTTAGCCTGTGTAAGTTCAGTGTATTCTACAGTTTTCACACAACAAAATTGCTCAGTGATACATTTTGCAGAATGGATCCCATTACTGAACCACACATGACTCTGGGTGTGTATACATATACACATTTATAACACTATATTTGAAAAATGATGATGTTGAAAGGCACAAAATCAAAAAAATTGAATCCAAATAGAAGTCACAACCAAGACAAGGAAATGTGAAATTTGTTAAAATGAAAGAGGAGCAAAGCTGTAGCATGCAACCACAAACAAAGCAAAAGGCAAGAGTGCACGTATCAGTGGCCGAGCAGAATTCAGAAAGCAGATCATTGAACCAATGTTTTATAGACATTGGAAAACAGTTCACCTCCCAATGTTTACTCTTCACACATGGAAAAAATGTACAAAATAAATAGACTCTAGGTAAATTAGTAAGAATAATTTATTACTTAATCTTGTGATTTAATAACAGATAACCCATCATTGTTTCCAATATCCTTGAAATATACATATCAATACTGATCATGATCTTAGCCACAAAAGAAGTCTCAATAAGTTATAATCAATAGGAGCTACACAGATTTCATATTAAATAAAATTAATTACTTGAGATTTCATAGAAGAAAACACTGTTAGGTCAAAGATGAAATTAAACTTGCAGTTAGAACTTATTTAAAAGAAATGAGAAAAATGATGACAATGAGAACGGGTAAAGCAAAGAACCTGAAATAACTTTACAACAAATAGAAGAGAGAAGATGTATACGCACATCCATAATGATTTTCAGAGGGACTCTGACCAAAGACTCAGGAGCTGTTTTTAGTAAAATATCTATATGAAATGAAATCAATCCAATACAAATTCTCCTAAATCAGCAAGTATTATGGTAGATATTAAACGAAATAATTTAGATAGAAAAAAGATGGTGCTGCTTATCATTACCACCATTATTTTAAATATATTTTAGAAGTTTTAACTAACGCATAGATATGAAAATGAAGCAATTTGCATAGGTAGTCAATTGCTGTACATACAACATTATGTGCCTTGTAATCATATTCATAGAAATCTAGTCAAAACCCATGAAACTGGAAAAAGCTTTTGCCAAGGATCATGAATAAAAAATAGATCTATAAAACTTAGAGTTTTTTTATTTGAGACAATATAAATGGAAAAGAAGCCATACTTCAGACACAATAGCAAATACACACATATTTATAAATATCTGAAAGATTCGAGATCTACATGAAGAACACTATTGCTTTGGAAGGAAAAGAAACAAGATCAAGTAACTGGAGATATATAAAATGTTCCCAGTTAGGTGTGAACGTTCTTTTTCCAGTGCTGAGAATTGAACCCATGGCCTCGAGCATCCTAGGCAGCACACTGAGCTGCCTCCCTAGTCGTAAATGAGAGGATTTTAGAACACTTTTCCGCCTGAAAGGGTGTTGCATTTGCAATCTGAAATTCAATAAAAATCGGGTAGAATAATATAACTAGTTTTATGACAGAAGAAGTATCTAAGTCAGACAAGAAAAATTTAAAAAATAGCTCGAGGAAGATTTTCCTTAATAAATTTAAATGTCTAAACCATATATCACGAGACATTGCAGTAAATATTTTCTACACTTTTGACAAAGAGTTAATACATCTGATATATAAAGACATTAGTGTATTAATAATAAACGGCAACTCAAAAGAAATGGATCTAAACAGACAGTTTAGAGAAGAGAAAATCAAAACATCTAGCAAACATATAAATACTTAAAAGCTAAACCATCAATGGCAAACCCGTTAGGGTGGCAAACATGATCTCATTAGTGACTCCTGCTGTGTGGGAAAAGATTCAGAGAGACAGACCTTCAAAGCTGGGTGAGCATGAATTACTACAGTCTTCAGAATATGCCTGGCAATGTCCCC